GCAATGAGATGACAGTCAGCGCCTGCACAAGCAATAGCGAAGTCATCAACATAGAGTGATGACCAAATATTGGGTGGAAGAACAGAGGCCAAATCATTTATAGCAAGGAGAAAAAGTGTTGTGCTTAGAACACATCCCTGAGGGACACCTTCAGCTTGGACAAAGTCCGGGGAAAGAACATTATTGACTCGAACACGGAAATGTCTGTCAGTTAAAAGTTCTTAAGGAAGGATGGTAGATTGCCTCGGAGGCCTAAGGAATGGGCCTGGGCCAAAATATTATACCTCCATGTTGTGTCATATGCCGTCTCAAGGTCAAAAAATATGGCAATAACTGAGTGATTATTCGCAAAGGCATTACGAACATACGTATCCAAGCGTATTAAGGGGTCTATGGTAGAACGACCCTTACGAAAGCCATATTGACTAGCGGAGAGACTGTTGTGTGTCTCTAAATACCACATTAAACGTCGATTTACGAGACGTTCCATCACTTTGCAAACTGCACTAGTAAGAGCGATGGGACGATAGTGGGAGGCATCATGTCCTGTAGTACCTGGTTTGCAGAAAGGGAGAACAATGGCAGATTTCCACAGCTGGGGAAGAACTCATTGTGCCCAAATAAGATTGAAGAGGTGTAAGAGGACTACAAGGGCTGACAGATGTAAATGTTGTAACATACGAATATGAATGTTGTCAGGCCCAGCTGCCGATGATCGGCAAGCTGAAAGCGTTGCCTCTAGTTCTTGAAGTGTAAAAGGCACATTATACTGTTCTTCTCTGAGAGAAGAAAAGTCCAAGGGTACTAACTCTCTGGCAGACTTTGAGGAAAGAAACGAAGGGCACAGATGGAGCCCTCGGGAAATACGGACCAGATGTGTGCCAAGTTCAATGGCAACGTCGAGAGGGTTTGCTACATCAACACCAGCAACCCGTAGAACAGGAGCCGGGTCAGGAGAGTATTTACCACTCAATTTCCTCACTTTTTTCCAGACTGCACTCATAGAAGAAGCAGAGGTGATGGTGGAAACATAGTCTCGCCAACAAGTGCGTTTAGCTTCACGGATGACACGGCGAGCGATCGCACGCTTCTGCTTAAAATCAAGAAGTCTCTCAGCGGTTCTATTGTACCGGTACCTGCCCCCATGCAGCACGTTTCAAACATACTGCACGAGCACAAGCAGGAGACCACCAAGGCACGCACTTCTGAGAATGCCTGCCTGAGGTTTGAGGTATAGATTGAGAAGCTGTGGTATAAACTGACGTCGAGAAGAGGTGTAGGAGCTCATCAATGGAGGATGAAGAAGGAACCTCACTAAAAGCAGTGAGGTGTGAGTAAAGATCCCAATTTCCCCGATCAAATTCCCAAAGCGAGGGCTACGGAAAGATGGTGAACATGAAGGAGAAGTAAGAATGATTGGAAAATGATCGCTGTCATGTAAGTCCGGTAAAAACAGACCAGGTGAAGTCTAGTGCAGTGGAGGAAGAGCAACTGTACATCGATGCAAGAGAGAGTTTTGAGTTACGAGGATCAAAATGGGTGGGAGTACCCGTATTTAAAACATGGAGGGGGTGAGAGGCGAGAAAAGCCTCCAACTGGATGCCACGTGAGTCACAACGAGACCCCCCCCAGAGGAAATGGTGGGCATTAAAATCACCAAGTAAAGAAGTGGGGGGTGGTAAGGATGAAACAAGAAAGGCAAAGTCTGGGATAGAAAATGCTCGAGAAGGAGAGAGATATAAAAAAACTTATTGTAAACCACTTATTCAAGTGGATAGGGGCTGCAGTGTAATTTGCAGCGAGGTATGGACAAATAGTTGACAGTACGGAATATCATGGCGTAGAAGAAGGGCACTTTCATTAAAGGTCCCATTTGAGAAAGGATCCGAAGAATACAATAAATTATAGCCTGAGATAGGTTGGAAAACAGCCGAGTGTAATTTTGGTACTTGTAAGCAAGCACCAACAGGGGAAAACCTGGAAGCAACATCTGAAGCTCACCCCGATTACCCTGAGGCCGCGGATATTCCACTGTAAATAGGCCATGATCGGCGATGAAGAAAATACCAGGAATCTGTAGGTAAAGGCACCTACGGACTAGTGGGTTAAAAAAGTCAACGTGTGGTGGCATTGGAAGACATTCAAGCAGCGAAGGAATGGAGCGTTGCGAAGAATGGGGTTGTGAAGATGGAGGAGAGGGAAGAGAAGGAACAGGAAGTGAATCAGTGTCCATTGAAGGTTTAGTCTCTGCAATATATTCTGAAATGGCTTCAAGTGTTTCTGAATTCAAAGAGTATGGGAGACCATATTGGAGATAGAAGGAGGAGGGTGAGTAAAGATTGGGACAGTAATGGACTGTAACAAAGTAGAGGGGGAAGGAAGAGTGTAAGGGACTGGAGATGAAGTGTGGCGGGGGACAGAAGAGGCAGAAAACCTGGGAGGTGGCAGAAGAGGGAGAAACTTGGGAGGGGACGGGGTGGAAGGCATAGTACGAGGAGGAGGGTGAATCTCCACACTTGTAATAGAGCCAGAGAGAGGGAAAGAACTAGGTACAGGGGACTGGAAAGGTAAAGTGTGGAGGTGGAAGAAGGGAAGGAAGGGGGAAAGAAGATTTGAGCAAAGTGGATTTTTTGGACTTCTGAGAAGTAGAGGGGCGATTGGTATTAGGTGTCGTACGAGGTCTTGTTGATACTGGGGCTTGTGAGGAAGGACGCGAAGATGTGAAAACAGACTGAGTTGTAGTCGGGATGTCAGAGCCAAGGACAGCAAAAAGATTAGATGCCCGGGGTGGCTATGGGAGGGGTAAAACCCCAGAGGAGGCTGCAGAAGATGGGACCCCAGAAGTGGGGGGATGTTTGGAAACACGATAATAAGAAACACGGGGTAGTCTCCCTTGGAGGCGGAGATGAGTAACTGCCATAGCATAAGGGAGACTTTCTGCCTCTTTGAGGCAACGGATTTCACGTTCATTTAAGTAGACCTGGCAAGTACCTGGGAGTACGAAGGGTGAGCTTCATTACAATTAAGGCAAGATGGAGGTTGACTGCAAGATGTATTAGAATGGTCGTCGGCACCACAGACTGGGCATTCGGCCATAGATCTGCATATTTCGCTGGGTGACCAAAATGCCAGCAATTTCTACATTGTTTTGGTGTAGGTATCACCTTTCGAACTTGTAACCGATGTCCCGCGACATATACAGAGGACGGGAGTTCTCGGCTGTCAAAAGTTAAACGAGCCACATTGCAAGGGTAACGTCTCCGCCCCCAGGCAGGAAGGACATAAGTGTCTACTTTGAGGATTGGGAGATCCTGGAGTTCCAGCTGTTCAAGAATGTCATTGCCACATGACTGGAAATTCTGTTGGACTATGGTATGGGGCAGAATGACAGAACCACTACAAGAATTGAGAGAAAGATGTTTTTCAATAGTGATAGGAGTAGTATCGATATTCGAAAGGAGAGAAAGATCACAAGCTTGGGTAGCATTCTGGACAGTGACGATGCGCGTACCGCTCTTGAGAGCATGAAATGAAATATCTCTACCAACATGACGCAGGAGCGCTTTGCCAATACTATGGTCAGAAAGGTAGGCAGAAGAAGTCCATTGTGCGGTCCGAAACCGGGAGTGTTTGACGTGTCGGTCTTTTCCGAGTAGAATGGGAAGGTAACGAAGGAGCATCATCAGGAGATTGACGTTGGCATTTAGGAGTAGGACCGGAGTTGGTCCGGCGTGAAATGGGCGGGCGATTCGAAAATTGCTGTACCCGAGAGGGAGAAGCCGGAAGCATAGTCAAAGGAGAGCGGAGTTCAGAGAAATCGAAGGAGTCAGTCGAAGCCCCGGTACCTGAAGCGGGTGAGGAAACAGCACCAGCAAGAGGTACAGGGGCATCAGGAGTGTCCGAAGAGTGGTCTAAACACCAAGGCCAGGGTCAGAATGGGGTGTGGTATCAAGAAGGGGCCCGGGGGTGGTAGTGGGTTCATGGATTGGGTTCTCTATGGTTAGGTTACTCCTTTGCTTTTTGTTTTTAAGAAAAAAAAAGAAAGAAGAAAAGAAAATAAAAATAAAAAAAAGAATAAAAAAAAGGGGGGGAGCGGGGAGGAGTAGTTCCCAGGAGGAATGAAAGGGCTGGAAATCTCCCTCCGCGCCCAAGAGGACCTCAGCACCGCTAGTAACACAGATGCAGCATGGAACCCGTGCCATACCCTACCCTTCATGCCAGTAAACCAGCAATCCGGGATAGCAACCTCACATCTGCCGAGCTACTTCGGTGGACAAAAGAGAGGGTGGCCGGATATCCGCCACAAAGCATACCTCCTTTGGCCACCACCCCCGGAATCCGAAAGGTGGCTTCCAGAGATACACCCGTCGCCCGAAAGACACCCAAAGCTACTCTGGCATACCAGGGAGGGATCGGGACATCCCCAGGCGATCCAGATTCCACGGCAAACTACGCCACCGCCAAGAACGTCAACGGAATGGGATGGACCCCGGTGTCCTTTCCCCTATCTAGGAACTAGCGCGCCTGTGGGAGAAATCCCAAAGGCCAAAAAGAGGAAGGGCAAAAGGGAGGGGTGAGGAGGAGGAGGAGGAATGGAAAAAGGGGAGGATGGGATAGGGGAGGGGAGAATGGGGGGTAATTAGGTTCGGTCTGAGGAAGAAGACCGACAGGTCTAATTCTTCAGACCAAGAGCCTCTTCACCACACCAAGGAGCCCCCCTTGAAGAGGACATGTTTTTAAAACTGCATTAAAATTCTACACATATTATCTTAACTAAGTTTAGGACAAGACACATCACCTCTAAGATTATTATTATAATTATGGGGAGCACTAAACCCATAGGATTATACAGTGCATGTGGGGGGGGGATGGAAGGTATTCAGGGTCAATTCAGGGAACTGGAGCACAGATCCAATTCCCTAGATCAAGAGCCCCTCACCACCGTCAAGGAACCTCCCTTGAGGGGCACCTCTTTAAGAACGAAGAGGTGATCATCTTACCTTTGGCTGAGGTGTTCATTATTAATGTTAGAAACTGTAGCTGTATGACACAGGGGCTCCTTGACATTCTTAGCACTGGCTTTAGCTCGTTTTTGAGTTGTCAGGTCAATCTTGTCCCTAACAGAAGATGAAAGCTTAGATGACATCCCTGGCTTTTGCTTTAAAAAGCTAGACTGGTGTGCTGAGCTACACCATGGTTTTGGTTGAACATTAGATACAAGTATCTTTTCCGTATGAAAAAATGGAGAGCTATTGTTAATGCTCAACTCATTACTACTGTCCTGCAGTCTTATGTATTCTTCTGAGCACTGATGTATTCCTTTGTGTAACTGCAAACCTCCTGCTGTGTCATGAGACAAGCATGACTGCTTGTGCTGACAAGGATTCAATTTACATTCACTTTTTCTCTCACACAAGATTTTCTTAGTTAAATCATGTTTGGGGGACCTTCCTGTCAATCTGCTTGGCTTGTCAAAATGCCTCTGAATTCTTGAAGTAGGTAGCATAGAATTTAAAGGGGCTGACACATGCCCTAAAATAGGAAATGAGACATCAAGCAAAGGCCCTCTACAAAGAGATTGCTTCTGTGACTGATCATATATTGGCATTAATTTTGAACATTTGTTTTGAACTGAGGTTTGAGAGTAACCAAATGACTTTTTATACTGTGGCACAATGATTATCTTCCAGTCATTTGCAGGCTCATTCAATTCTATCCTTCCTTTGTTCATATATTGTGTAAGCTTTCTTGAGTTTGCTCCTTCATTAACCAGTACAGAAGGCAAATTCTCATGTTCTGAATTAGGTCTTTCATGATATTGACCCCAACATGATGTTGATAAATGGTGCTTGGAGGCATGGTTTAATAATACTGATTGATCGTCTTGATTATCACATACTAATATTCTGCTGTCAGTAGTACGAGATGCTAGGCTGTACGTATCACCTGAGCAGCTTCTGCTCTTTAGTAATATTTTTTGGGGACTAGAATAACAAATTGATGAACTTTGGTATCTGAAATCACTTGATAGTCTTAAATTTTCTAAATTTGGAAGATTTTGAGATGATGCATCCATGTTTGGCACACCAAAATGACTAGTAGACAAGTTCCTAAACTGTGCAATAAAATTATCTTTGTTATGTACCTTAAAGGAACACTGCAATCTATTTTCTGTACTGCGGTCATATATACTACTTTCACTTTTTCTCTTGTAGGCTGAAACTTGTGAATGCAATACAAGGTTTATCCCATGTGTCTGACAGTGACGGATAATAATGTTCTTAACTTGCTGTTCAGGTGGCGGAGCATCTGCAAAAAAATTCACCAGGTATTCCAGAGATGACCTCATCCTGCAAAGGTAGTCTGCAGACAAAGCACACACAAGTTTGGACAATGGTTGCATCAAGGCAGGACCACCTCTACTGCAGTCAAGCAAAAGTTTCTTCAAAGTTTCTACCTCTGGCTTGAACTTCTTTATCTGAAAGAGAAAAATGTGAAAAATAAACAAAATCTATTGTAATTGCAAAAATAATCAATGAGTGATTATCCCATTTCTCTCGTCTTCTAAAACCAGCTCATTGCCCGTGGCTTGGTCTCAGACCAGACTCTCTAGTTGTTTGTCAGATAAGTCAAGCTACTGATTATAGTATAACAGTACAATTTTAGCATGATAGCCCAACTAACTGGGAACTGTTTGAAATAACCTATTAAGTTCTGTCTTGAAGACAGCTAGGGGGTCAATTGGTAATTCATCTTATACTGTGTATGGAGTTCTTATAATTACTAATTATAATTACTGTAGTATTGGCACACCCTCGGTAAGATAATGATGGAGTGAGTGACGGTGACAGTGTTTCTTCTTTTTTTATTTGCCCTACCTCAGTGGGAGATGGCCGGAATGTTAAAAAAATAATTTACAAATGAATATTGACTTAATAAAGTAATTTAATGGTTTGCTGTAAATCTTACTTGCATGGCACAAATTAGAAGATCAATGGTGAGGGTTAAATTGCTGAAAGTCATTATGAAACTGATCAACCTGTCCCAGGTGCTTGCAGATAGTGGTACACGTCGCTCACACACTAGGTGGCCCAGCTCCGACAGTTCAGAAAGAAGACACATCCCACTTTCCTGGTCACAACACAAGGCAGGGAAACACATAAAACTGCACAAGATATGCAAGAAAAGATTGTGCAGTATTGTACTAGGAATATTCAATAATAACTGATATAGGGTAATCATCCTAGTCATCTCATTTTGCTCCATCTTCAGGTGGACAAATCACCTACATAACCCTTCCTCAGCTAGCTAAATAACAGAGGTATTTTTGGTAACCCCACACCACCTACTCTCCATGCTCAGAATTCTCTACACACTGCAATCAAACATTATATCCTCAGTGCCTCTAGCCTCCTCCTCCTCCCTACAAAATTTAAAACCCATGCTTCACACCGTTATGATGATACAATAACTTACATGATACAAAATTAAAAGGAATCGGTGAATAATTTGAAGATAACATATCAACTACCTACGCTAGGTTTAAAAAACGCCAATTTAGCTGCTGTAATCTTAACCAAATTTACCTAATACAGGGTCTTGCATATTAAATGTTAGTATATTCAGGAATGCTGATTTATGACCATAATAACTACTAAATGATGCTGGCTGGATAACTTGTGAGCTCTGCAAGCTTATTAAAGTTTTCTGAACTAAATATGATCATAATTTAGTAATATTAATGAAGTAAATTCAAAAAATTGTGTAAATAAAGCATCATGTCAGTGAAAATACTGATATGTGCAGAAGTATTTCTCTATCTGACCCCTAGACCATGACAGCACTTAGCAAAAAAATAGATATATACTTTACACTGTAGATCGGTGGTGACAGTCCCCTACTACAAATCACACTTATTTGGATGCAAATGCAGATTTGCATCCAATTTTAGGCATAACAATACTGTATTATACTGCATTCCAATAAATATACTGTATACATAATGAACTGAAGAACCAAAGATTTCCTGTATTATCACTCATAATAGATAACTTTCACACACACTTTCACTCACTCACACTATCTTCTAATTAGTGCTTAACAGCTTAGGAAGATTATTCTGCCAGTCTCCTGTATCATATTGATCACATTGTATAATAATAATTTATACTGTAAATGTAAGATAACCTTTAAAATACTTTACCTTATCTGTGGGTATGAGGGCAGTAAATATGGATTCATCATTTGCTTTCAGCCTTCGTACCTCCTTCAGCACATGAAAACTTTTCTTCCTCTCACCTAATGGGATATGATGAAACTATAACAAGATAGCATTGTCTACATATCTAATGACATACACCACACCACTGTGGCTTATGCAGTAAGGTAGCCCAAGAATTAAGCTAAAAAAAAAAAATAATATTCCCTCCACATAACTGCTCATTCCACTTCACAATAAGTCTGCAGAAGAACATGCATGTTGTCTAAAGAGGCCATGGTCACCAATTTGCAATCTCTGAATGCCCTGAAGCAACAGGGTAGCAAGGTATTTGATCACTGCATTCCACTGAACACATGGAACATACAGGTTGATATCAGATATCCTGCTGGAAATATGGTACCTAAGAAAAGAAAGGAAACAAGGAAGGCAAAGGAGCAGCACTGCAAGTCAGAAATCATTTCAGTTTAGAAGAGATGAGTTGGTTGAACAGACATGCAGCAAATGACTGCATAGTGGACTCAATAAAGACTGGGCTACCCAAAATGGTAGAAGTGATTTACAACCTGATATCTAACAGCAGGATACAGAGAGGAATATGAAAACAACAAAGCCACGAGTGACACTATAGCAAAAGTAGCTAGGAGTGCACAGAGAGCTAAAGTAAAGCTACTTATCATAGGTGATTTCAGTCACAAAGAAATTGATTGGGGGAAGTAGGTTAAGCAAGATCATGGGCAAAATGCTATTGTCTGTCTGAATTTTTTTTATATTTTGGCAGAAAAACAGTATATTAAAAAAAAACAAAAAAAAAAACTCTTTATGGACTTACTAGGGCCAAGGATGGTCCACCATACTTAAAATCTGATCTATCAAGCAACTCTCTTTAAACTGAAGACAGAGACAGAGCAAACCTTTATAAAAATGATGTTCTACTCAGTGAGAGCTTTATCGTGTTTCACTGTTAAACTGTCCACACGTAGATCTACGTCCACGTGGGTCATTGGTCTAAGCCGAGGGGGTGACATGGACCTGCCTTGCATGGGCCAGTAGGCCTGCTGCAGTGTTCCTTCTTATGTTATTATGTATTTGGCTGGCTGGCTAGTTTTGGCTGTCTCTGTATCTGTCTATATCTCTGTCTATCTGTATCTGTCTCTCACATGTACTAATAAATACAATCATACATAATGTAAATTACCTAGGATAACCCAAACATTCCAGGCCAAGTGCTATAGTGTTTGTAGATATGACATAAATAAACATGATGCAAATAATAGCAGTGTCACTTGCTCAGCAATCAGGGAGCGGCCCATACACCACAAACCAACAGGTTTACTAGCCGCTCCCTGAGACAAAGACAAGAAGATGGAAAGACAGACACACACAGGCGGACAGAAAGACATAAGCAGAACTTGACAGACAGATAAGCAGAGCTAGACAGATAGATAGATGTAAAGATAGACAGACAGATAGATGTACAGACAGACATACAGAGACATGTTTGTGTGCAAGAGTAAAAACATATAAAGGCAAGGTTCCCCCCTCCAGCAGCGCACATTCATCAAATGTCACTTGTTATCTGACGTTTGTCATAACATCATTATTCAAGGAGTTCATATTATACTCCAGGCATACACAAAAGACAAAGACAGATAAGCTGAACTGGACAGACAGAAAGCAGAGCTAGGCAGACAGATAGATAGATGCACAGATACACAGATAGATGTACAGATAGACAGGCAGGCAGGCAGATAGACTGATAGACATGCAAGAGTAAAAACATATAAAGGCAAGGTTCCCTCAAGCAGGGCATATTCTGACCCTTGTCATAATGCCATGCTTCAAGAAGTTTCATACTCCAGTGTGTCTAAAACATTGCTGGGACCTATAAATACTTTGTGTATATTTCTAGACAACAGTAAATGACCAAGGCAGGTGAAAATGTTCACCTGTCAGTGTGATTGTTATAATGAGAGTTATTTCAGTGCACAATATTAGTGTCAGAACAAAGATTGGCTATGAAATCACACGAACTATTATAAATTGTAATTATCAAAACAAAAATTATATAAATTAAAATAAAAACAAGAAAAAAAGTAAATCGGCAACACTTTTGCAAGTGGCTGGACTGGATGTTGCTGTCAGGCGAACATCCAGAGACAACTTTACACTCTTATATCTCAGTAAGTACTGGTCCTAAAATTTTTTTTTTTTTTTTTTGGTCTTAAACTACACAGAAAATTGCCCTCTTTAATTTAAAAACAAATAACAAATTTGTTATTTTCAAAATATTTGGAGCGCCACACAGGTGAACATAGATCTACATTTGGACAGTTTAAGGGTTAATGGAGAGCTAGGCACTCCTTCCTTATAAAGCTAACAGTCAGGTGCAAAGAGAAAGGTTGGATCAGTAGACATGAAAAATGGATCCAAGTAGCCATTGTTGAAATGATGCAAGCATAGGAAATATCGCTAATATGTTGGGTAAGGAGACCATAGTCTCTTCATGAGTAGAATTCCATATTATACAATATTCTAGATCCTCATATTATGGGTAATAATAGTGTGTGCATTGCCATCATCTTTTTTCACGGACATCATTTGCAGATAGTCACGGCACCATAATTAACCTCACTAAACAAGCCTTTTCTTGTATATTTTAAAGTAATTTTACTGTATTTTAGCATTTAATTGCTGCTCTGTAACTTGTATAGATATCTTGCATACCAGCAGCCCCAACTAGTGGAGCTGCTGGTGATGCTGCAGCCTTTATTGCCTTTGTAATAAGATAAAAAAATCAAATATAGTGGACCCCAAGTTTACGATCAGCTCCCAATGCGGCCAATCATGTAAGTGTATTTATGTAAGTGCATTTGTATGTGTATGTTTGGGGGTCTGAAATGGACTAATCTAATTCACAATATTCCTTATGGGAACAAATTCGGTCAGTACTGGCACCTGAACATACTTCTGGAATGAAATAATATCGTAAACCGGGGGTCCACTGTATATGCCTGCTGGATACAAACAATGTAGTGGTTTTCATGCCCACCCTAGTTGAGAACTAAATATATACATTTGTCAGTGCCTCCTTCCTTCTATTCAGCATTTTCAATACCAGATCAATCTGGTGGTCCAGCTCAAGATTAGTTTCATTATTTTTTTTAGGTTAATCTTTAAGAGAAAGTTTCAACTTTAACCTCTTGAAATGGTCAGTTTGCTATGGTGAATTTTTGGTTTAACTGGTCCAAGACACAGATAACCAATCTTTTTCAATCACACTTATTTTATTTTGTAATTTTTTGTTGGTGAATACATATCCCCATTAACAAAAGATCATTTCTACGCTGAATTTTGATCAATCTACTGAGATCCAAATAAGTGAGCCACTACTGTACAGCTATACAATTTCTGTGACAAATGACATTATAAATCTTAATACAAAATTATTTAACCAGTGATACAGTTAATGGAATACTCAAATAGTTAAATAAACAAAAGCAAATAGAAATGCAAATACATGCTAAACATTACCCATTTCATTCAGGAAGGTGACCGCACAACATGTAATGTATATGAAGAAAGAAGATGGGGCAAAAAGCTCTTTGCAGAGGTGGTTGTAGGCTTCACACACCTGAAAAGTAGGAAAATATGTACCAGTATATGAACACAGAGGCAGCTTGGTCAAGGGTAAAAGTAGGGAAATATGTGTCAGTATATGAACAGAGAGGTAGCTTAGTCTAGAGTAGATATCTGAATATTGTACTGGGGCTACACTAAGCAAAAATATAAATAAAATATCTTTACAACAATGGAAGGAGTAAAAATAAAACTGAAAGATTAAATAAACGTTTTAAGAAAATGCAAAAAACTAAATAATCCTTCCCGCTATTATGTAACAAGTTGAATGTGCCAGGATCAACAATCTTAACACAATTTAGGAATTTATATAGAAAACCTGCAAACTCTTACCATTATATTAGTACAGGAGGGCCCAGCTTTACGGCGTTTCACTTTACGGCGTTCCACTAATACGGTCATTTCAAATTATGACCAAAACTCGCTATACGGCTCCCCCCACCTGACTTTCTAATACGGTCACCGTGCCCCACCCTGTTTGTTTACATTCTTCGTGAGCTCAGTAAGCACTAAGTCTCTCCATTTTGTCTGGAAACTCCAAAATTTCAAATGTTTTTAAAAGTTATTTCATATTTTATATATACTCTGATAATTATACTTATATATACCTGTACTTAAATAAACTTACATACTGTGCTGGCATGCAGGTACACATTAAAATCAGTAAGAGTGTCTTATGTCTCCAGACGTCATATTAGTAATGATAATAATAATCATCGAGTCTCATTTAAATGTCGTATATTACGTTAAATACACATTTTCATTAATCCATCTGATATTTTTTCAAAATTATATAATAAACACGATACATAACATAAAAAGATGATAAATACACCCCACAATAGAATAAATAAACATAAATATGAGATGTGGTAGCAGACGACTTGCACAAGTGACGCCATATTAGAAATGATAATAATAATAATCACCGAGTCTCATTAACCCTTTCAGGGTCCAAGGCCCAAATCTGGAGTCACGCACCAGTGTCCAAGAATTTTCAAAAAAAAAATTTGTTATTTTTTCTTATGAAATCGTAGAGAATCTTCTTGTGAAGGTAATAAAACAAAAAGTACGAAATTTGGTGGAAAATTGACGAAATTATGCTCACGCGAATTTTGATGTGTCAGCGATATTTACGAATCGGCGATTTTGCCGACTTTGGCTCCCATTTTAGGCCAATTACATTATTCCAGTCAACCAAATTCTTAGCTATTTCACTAGTATTACTTCTATTCTATCGATTGAGCACAAGAAATCGCCAAGTCAACTGTTTCAACTACAAAATAAAGTGATCAGAAATTGTTAATTTGGCCAATTTAACAAAGTTCAAAATATTCCAATTTCAAAATAGGGTCCAGAATGAACAATGTAGGCATTCTTGGCACTAAACTAACATTTCCTCTGTTCATTAGTTATGTTTTGAGGCTTTACAAATAAATTCCATTTTGATTTTTTATTCACATAATGAATTTTTATTCACACCAAAAAATAGAAGATTTACTGTTATGCAATACTGTAATAATTGTATAAATATCATCACCATATTTGTGAATGTATATTAGACCCACCAGCTGATGTGTATTAGACGTGTGAGGTCGTTTGTTTACTCTTGAATATCGGCAAAAATTTAACATTTCTGCTACTTTGAGCTCAGTTTCAAGCCATTTCCAGTGCTAAAACCAATCAAAATCATCTCTATTTCTGTAATATGTCTTCCATTCTATCAAATGAGACCAAGAAATCGCAAATACAACTATAAAAAACATACGAAAAAACACTGCAAAGTTGCTGTTTTAATCGAAAAATCATGATTTCATTTTTTTTCTCTCATTATACACAGTGTGCTGCAGGATCTGTTTTATGTGGTGCACACATACCACATAGATGTATTCTCTCATATCTAGGCCCAAATGTACCACTCACAGTTTATCAGAGTGAGCTGAGCTCATGGCGTAGATCTACGGTTTGGACCCTGAACGTAAAGCCGTAGATCTACGGGACGGACCCTGAAAGGGTTAAATGTTGTATATTATGTTAATATACACATTTCCATTAATCCATCCATGATATTTTTTTCAAAATTATATAATAAACACGATACATAACATAAAAAGATGATAAATACACCCTACAATAGAATAAATAAACATAAATATGAGATGTGGTAGCCAGATAACTTGTACAAGTGATGCCAAGAATAACATTTTCTCTAATCTAACATAAGAGAAAATGTGTTACTGGGGGTAACTGTAGAAAATTATTCCTTTCGTATGTATGTAAGTAAGTTTATTCAGGTATACACAAATACAGTTACATAGATTATCATACATAACAACATATGTGTAGAGAACCTAAGATAACCCAAAAAAGTCAGAGTGACTTATTTCCATTGCCTTCACTCAGAGCATCATTTCTTCTCAAAATGATGTTACATGAGAATGGGAGTGTTCTTCTTTATTTATTCTACCGTATCAATGTAGAGACAACCTGTACACAATGTAACTTGTACACAAACCAGAAGTGTACACTTCATTTACAAAACTTACCTTCGCCTGGTTTGTTTACATAACTCTGCGCCTGTCCTCTCTCATGCACTCATTCTTTCTCTCTCTCATTTATTTGTTTGATCTCATTTACTTACTCCTGACCCTACATTAAGACTACAAATATTTTAAGGTAAGTAATGAGTGAACTGTATATACATTTTATCGCTCTGGGATGCTTAAATGTAATAGAATATTATGTGTAGGTGGGTTGGCCTGGTATGGTAGCCCGGCTGACTACCATACATACCACACTTGATTTCTTACAATAAATACTACTTGTCTCACCCTAGATTAAGACTATAAATATTTTAAGGTAAGTAATGAGTGCACTATGTGTGTATTGTACTTTTTTATTGTTTTTTGATGCCTGGTTCTATTGCTAACTTAATATATGTTAGTGTAAACTTGTTATCTAGTGTTTGTATGCATTTGTAAGTGGAAAAAAAGGGTGTTCCACTTTATGGCGGTAGCCTGGAACCTAACCAGCCATATAAGTGGGGCCTTCCTGTACAATGAATACATGTATTTTTGTAAATCTTGCCAAGAAACTGGAGTAGGACTGGATCATGCATAAAAACATTAGCAAATCATGTTTCATGCATGCTGATAGACCTATAATACAGTATAGAGATTTTTTACATTAAAGTTAAAAAATTAAATTAAAATCTTCTTTTTCTCTTAACTCTTTCAGTTTCTGTCATGTAAAACTGAGTCATCAAGGCCAGGAGTCCCCTCATGTAGTTCTTTGTCATGAGCTCAGCTCACTCACATAAGCTGTGAGCAGCAAATTTTGGGCCTACATATGAGAGAATGGGTGTGTGCAGTAAGTGTGCACAGTATAAAAAAAAAATTCTGCTCCATGCAGTGCATGAAGAGAAAAGTAAAATCGTGACCGTGTGTATGTTATGAACAAGCGGCAGAAGTGCACCTCCCAGCTTACAAGAAAAGAGGGAAGGAAAGGTAGGTGGGGTGTCAAGATCCAGGGGTTGGAGGTGGTAGACTGGTGGCACCACAATGGTGTTTTTTAGGATGGCTTTTATGGTTTTATTAGTTGTTTTTTGGTATTATTTGATAGAATGACAGATGTCTTACTGAAACAGAGATGATTCTGGTTGGTTTCAAGAATGGAAGTAGCTTTAAATTGGACTTAAAGTAGCAGAATTATTCAATTTTTGCCAAGTTTCATGAAGATTGGTAAGGCCCCCCTACACCTCCCTTGGTCTGTTTCATGGTTTTTAATAAGCCTGATTCAATTATTGGGATGCTGTAAACCATGACCAATCATTTCTGGTTATATTTTATTATCCATGAATTAAAGTAAATTTTTTACTTTGCAATATTTTTTAAATAGGTATTTTTTAATTTTGTGTAAAATTAACCAAATTACCAACTTCTGTGCACTTCATAATTTTAACAGTTGAATGGGTGGTTTCTTGTGCTCAGTTCACAGAATGGAAGGCACAATAGCTAAGAATTTTGTCGATTGGAGTAATGGAAATCATTAAGTTTAAAATCAGACTCAAAGTGGGCAAAAATCACTGCTGCGTAAATTGTGCCAAGATCTCTAACTTAGCACTTGCATAATTACCTAAGTTTTCCATTAAATTTCATGTTTTTAGTGTCATTACCTCCAGAAAGTGATTTTCTACTATTTCAGAAGAATTTTTTTTTTGAAGTGGACACTGGGAGCAATATTGATTCAGGGGTGTGGACAATGAAAGGATTAAAATATACATGGATATTATAAAAGGTGGGTTTGCAGTCTGTCTGGTTATAGTTTGAATATGATTATGAGAATACGATCTTTTATGTATAAAGGAAAGCAACTTAGTATACACAGGATTTCTGACAAACTAATTCTACATTGCCCCAACTATGTACTTAATTCTAGTTCTATTATAATCAATTTAAGCACTAAACCCATGAAAGTCATAGAGCAGTTCTAGTGTTATCACAAATTTAGGCAATGTGTGACAGTATACCACAAATATTTTACTCAAATCATAAAGTGGTTAATATTAAAATTACAGGAAGGCCTTGCATATACTACAGCACCCTCTTTTTGGTGTTCCACAATTTCGTTGGTTTTCAATCGAGTCATTGCTCATTATGTTCAGCGTTTTTGCAGCTTTTCCACTGTTTTCAAATAAGTTGCATAAGGGAAGGGTGACTGGCACCATATTTTAAAATAAGTATTGTATGAACTGTGTATTTATTTTACTTTATCTGTTTTTTATGATAGATGTATTGAGCACTTAATATATGATAGTGTAAATACATTATCAGGTATTTTAGATGCACTTGATAATGAAAAAAATGCTCTTTTTCACCTACCAGCGATTTTCATTTACAGTACGGTGTAGGGAACCTAAGAGCCATACAAACGGGGCCCTTCTGTATAAGTGATGAATCATACAGAGGGTGATGCACAATATCTACAGTATATGTAGAAGAAATATTGTATGAAAGTAAAGCCAAGTTGCAAATCAGAATATATATATATTTTTTTTTAACAAGTCGGCTGTCTCCCACCAAAAAGAAAGGAAATCCGCAAAAAGAAAATACTTTCATCATTCAACACTTTCACCTCACTCACACATAATCACTGTTTTTGCAGAGGTGCTTGGAATACAACAGTTTAGAAGTATATATGTATAAAAATGCACAATATATCCCTCCAAACTGCCAATATCCCAAACCCCTCCTTTAGAGTGCAGATACTGTACTTCCCATTTCCAGGACTCTAGTCCGGCTATATAAAAATAACAGGTTTCCCTGAATCCCTTCACTAAATATTACCCTGCTCACACTCCAACAGATCGTCAGCTCCCAAATACCATTCGTCTCCATTCACTCCTATCGAACGCGCTCATGCATGCCTGCTGGAAGTCCAAGCCCCTCGCCCACGAAACCTCCCTATCCCTTCCTTCCAACCTTCTCGAGGATGACCCCTACCCCGCCTTCCTTCCCCTACAGATTTATACGCTCTCCACATCATTCTACTTTGATCCATTCTCTCTAAATGACCAAACTGCCTCAACAACCCCACTTCAGCCCTCTGACTAATGCTTTTATTATCTCCACACCTTCTCCTAATTTCCACACGGAATTTTCTGCATAACATTTACACCACACATTGCCCTTAGACAGGACATCTCCACTGCCTCCAACCGCCTCCTCGCTGCTGCATTCATAACCCAAGCTTCACACCCATATAAGAGTTTTTTTGTCTCCACATATACCTCAACACACCACTCGCCTTTTTTCCCTCATCAATTCTATTAGTAGTAGTAGTAGTAGGTTGGTAGACAGCAACCACCCAGGGGTGTACTACCGTCCTGCCAAGTGAGTGTGAAACGAAAGCCTGTAATTGTTTTACATGAAGGTAGGATTGCTGGTGTCTTCTGTCTGTCTCATAAATATGCAAGATTATAGGTACGTCTTGCTACTTCTACTTACACTTAGGTTACACTACACATACATGTACATGTTTAGTTATACACATTCATCTGAGTTTTCTTTGATTTTATCTTAATAGTTCTTGGTCTTATTACTTTTCCTTTTATATCCATGGGGAAGTGGAATAAGAATCTTTCCTCCATAAGCCATGTGTGTTGTAAAAGTCAACTAAAATGCCAGGAACAATGGGCTAGTAACCCCTTTTCCTGTAATAATTACTAAAAAGAATAAGAAGAAAATTGTCAAAATGGGAAGTCTGAATGTGCATGGATGTTGTGCAAATGATAAGAAAGAGATGATTGTGGATGTTATGAATGAGAAGAAGCTGGATGTCCTGGCTTTAAGTGAAACAAAGCTGAAGGGGGGTTAAGGGAGTTTCAGTGTAGAGGAATAAATGGGATTAGGTCAGGGGTTTCAAATAGAGTTAGAGCTAAAGAAGGAGTAGCAATAATGTTGAAGGATAAGTTATGGCAGGAAAAGAAGGACTGTAAATGTATTAATTCAAGGATTATATGGAGTAAAATAAAGGTTGGATGTGAAAAGTGGGTTATAGTAAGCTTATATGCACCTGGTGAAGAGAGAAGTGTAGAGGAGAGAGAGAGATTTTGGGAAATGTTGAGTGAATGCGTGCGGAGTTTTGAACCAAATGTGAGAGTAATGGTGGTTGGGGATTTCAATGCTAAAGTGGGCAAAAATGTTGTGGAAGAAGTAGTAGGTAAATTTGTTGTGCCAGGGGTAAATGAAAATGGGGCGCCTTTAATTGAGCTATGTATAGAAAGAGGTTTGGTAATAAGTAATACACATTTTATGAAGAGGATAAATAAATATACTAGGTATGATATAGCATGTAATGAAAGTAGTTTGTTAGATTATGTATTGGTGGATAAAAGGTTGATGGGTAAGCTCCAGGATGTACACGTTTATAGAGGGGCAACTGATATATCGGATCATTATTTAGTTGTAGCTACAGTTAGAGTAAGAGGTAGATGGGAAGAGGAAAATGGCAACAACAAGCAAGAGGGAGGTGAAAGTGTATAAACTAAGGGAGGAGGAGGTTCGGGTGAGATATAAGCAACTATTGGCAGAAAGGTGGGCTGGTGCAAGTATGAGGAGTGGGGGGGGTTGAAGAGGGTTGGAATAGTTTTAAAAATGCAGTATTAGAATGTGGGGCAGAAGTTTGTGGTTATAGGAGGGTGGGTGCAGGAGGAAAGAGGAGTGATTGGCAAAATGATGAAGTAAAGGGTGTGATAAAAGAGAAAAAGTTAGCTTATGAGAGGTTTTTACAAAGCAGAAGTGTTATAATATATATTTATAGGTACATATTTGAAGTGCTAAACCCATGTGGGTTATTTAACACAATAAATATTAATGGTTTAGTCCTTCTTTAACTAATCATGATAAGAGTTATAAGATACCTCTTGTATGGGAGGTGGGGAGTAGGTTGCAACTCCAAGTAAAGGAGGTGGTGCAAGGAAACTAATTACTGTATATAAAAATGCAAATAAAAAAATAAAATAGAATGTTTATTTCTTATATAAATGCAATAATTCCAAGGGGCTTGAGTAGTACAGTTTCACATCAGTCACCCAAGTGCTAAAGAAGTGCAGCCCAGCAGCTGGAGTTTGATATTCATATATACAGGTAAGTACATAAACCAAACTATTAACACACTAACTTTGTCAACATCTCTTGCATTTATGCGAACCTTCAACCATCCTATGTTGAACATATCCTTCCTTTGTTCTTTGAATGGGCTTCCAAATGGTTCGTATTTCCACAGCAAGATCTTCTCCCAAGGGCTTGTAGCTTCCTTCTCTGGACAGTTCTCACAGTACCTATGTATGGGATACAATAAAATCAATATTTCTACAGATAAGAGTAAGGTGATGAGGGTATCAAACAATTAAGATAAAGAAAAAATAGATATCATACTGGAGAGAGGGAGTATGGAAGAAGTGAATGTTTTCAGATATTTGGGAGCTGACTTGTCAGCAGATGGGTTTATGAAGGATGAGGTTAACCATAGAACTGATGAAGGAAAAAAGGCGAGTGGTGCATTGAGGTATCTGTGGAGACAAAAAAAAAGTTATTTATGGAGGCAAAGAAGGGAATATATGAAAGTACAGTAGTACCAACACTCTTATATGGGTGTGAAGCTTGGGTTCTAAATGCTGCAGCCAGGAGGCAGACGGAGGCAGTGGAGATGTCCTGTCTAAGGGTAATGTGTGGTGTAAATATTATGCAGAGAATTTGGAGTGTGGAAATTAGCAGGAGGAGATGGAGTTACTAAAAGTATTAGTCGGAGGGCTGAAGAGGGGTTGTTGAGGTGGTTTGGTCATTTAGAGAGAATGGATCGAAGTAGAATGACTTGGAGAGCGTATAAATCTGTAGAGGAAGGGGGGGTAGGGGTTCTCCTCAAAAAGGTTGGAGGGAGGGGATAAAGGTTTTGTGGGCAAGGGGCTTGGAGTTCCAGCAAGCGCATGTGAGCGTGTTAGATAGGAGTGAATGGAGACGAATGATTTTTGGGAACTGACGAGCTGTTGGAGTGTGAGCAGGGTAATATTTAGTGAAGGGATTCAGGGAAACTGGTTATTTTTATATAGCCGGACTTGAGTCCTGGAAATAGGAAGTACAATGCCTGCACTTTAAAGGAGGGGTTTGGGATATTGAGTTTGGAGGGACTTCTAAACTGTCGTATATGAGCGCCTCTGCAAAGACAGTGATTATGTGAAAGTGTTGAATGATGATGAAAGTATTTTCTTTTTGGGGATTTTTTTTTTCTTTCTTTTTGGGTCGCCCTCCCTCGGTGAGAGACGGCTGACTTGTTGAGAAAAAAAAAATACATAAAATAATAATAATAGTAATAATCTTTTTATTTCAAAATTACTGTACAAAAGGAACAGACAATAATCTGAAGGCCCATAGGCTTATAAAGCATTTTGGGCAAAGCTTAGTTAAGTCTTAAAATTTACAGCATTTTTTGAAGAGTTGTCTTATGAATATCTGTAATAAATAAACACTTGCTAATAACTGGTTATGAACTAAAGTTCCCTCCACTATTTAACTAAATGACACATACAGTCTCTGTACACTGAAATATATTTGTGTACCCTGTACTTGATAAAATGAAACAGAGCAATGGAACAATTCTCAATTTCTCAGTTGCATTTTTCACTGCTACTCTCTCTTACCTCTCATTCTTATTTATCTTTACTTTAGAGTACTGTACTTTACTTTTCTTTCATTTTACCTATATTACTCTATGATTGTCATGTTTAACTAAATTTCATTTTTTTTTATCGGCATCCTACCCATCATTTCTCACACTGTTGCCTCCCCCATCTTCCCAATGACCGATGACCAAAAGCTCCAGTGGTGGGTCATCACATGCTTAAGACCTATGTCAGGAAATAACTGGCCTATTTCCTGACAAATCTTACCTAACCTATCTCCCTCTCTCTCTCGTATAGGGGTGGCTTCAGAAATTCTAAACAGAAGGGGCATAGTGGTAGTAATCTCATTGGAAGAAGGAACTAGGGGACTCAGTTTGAAGCAGTATTATTATTGCAGAATTTTTATTAGGCGATTCGTGGACTTCAGATTCAGATTCTTTACTTCAGCATGATACATTGTACAGAGATGGGTAACATTTAGGAATGCAGAGTATGCAGAGCATTTCGGGCAGACTTATGCTTATCTTAAGACTAGTAAGGCAATAACTAATTGATTGCTTATATACTTATACAGCATATATTGCTTATATACTTATACAGCATATATTGCTTATATACTTATACAGCATATATTGCTTATATACTTATACAGCATACATTGCTTATATACTTATACAGCATATATTGCTTATATACTTATACAGCATATATTGCTTATATACTTATTACAAGCATATATTGCTTATAACTTATACAGCATATATTGCTTATATACTTATACAGCATATATTGCTTAATACTTATACAGCATATATTGCTTATATACTTATACAGCATATATTGCTTATATACTTATACAGCATATATTGCTTATATACTTATACAGCATATATTGCTTATATACTTATACAGCATATATTGCTTATATACTTATACAGCATATATTGCTTATATACTTATACAGCATATATTGCTTATATACTTATACAGCATATATTGCTTATATACTTATACAGCATATATTGCTTATATACTTATACAGCATATATTGCTTATATACTTATACAGCATATATTGCTTATATACTTATACAGCAGGTTAGATTCCGGGCTACCACTGTAAAGCAAAAATTGCTGTAAGTGAAACATAACCTTTTTTCACTTCAAATGTATATAAAAGCCTGATAACATGTTTATGCTATTATATATTAAGTAAGCAATAGACCTAAGCCTAAAAAATGCATATCCTGTACACATATTACTTACCTTAAAATATTTTCATCCTTAGTCCTCCTGTAAATGGTCTCTAAGTAGTTGTAACATTAAATTTAGGAATTACAAGGAACACAAGAGAATTGAATACCATGCCACCACTGCTCTTGTGTACACAAATCATAATCAAACATAATAGGAAATTCCATACCTGACAAAGATGCCAATCATTGTGTGCATAGCAAATGAGGAAGCACTGCTAAAATTATTTTGAAATAAGGAGTAGGCAGCATATCCACGATGGAGTTCACACAGGACACCAACCCTGGCAATGTCCAGAGCAGATGTCAGGTGTGAAGGAACCTGGAAATATTCAGGCAGTACAATGAACAGTTTTTTAATATTTCATAACAATCCTTCCTAAAGAATTTGCCAGGGTTAATACTCCGCAGAAATGTCTTAAAAAAAAAACTTGAATGACTTTGTATATGCCCATTGGGAAGAAAGAGGAAGGAAAAAATGAGGGAGAGAAAAGAGAGAAAGTAGAGAAAATAAGAGAAGAGAAAAGATAAGAGCAAGAAAATGGAGAAAAGCTTTCAGAGAGAAACAATAAAATTCAAATAAAAAATAAAGAGTTAAAACAGTAAGAAATTATAGGAACTTCACGTTTGTGCAATTTTTTTTTTTATACTTTCCACACTATCTGCAACTTCCCAACCCAGTAGACTGACCTACCAGAAAGGGCAAGATTACTCAGGACTATCAGCTCACCAGACTTTCAACAACATTGTGATCTTGAATTGTACACCCTGCTTCTGGGTCATGAGAAACTTGCCAGTTTTTACTCAGAGCTTGCCACCACAGAATAGGATACCTTGCTCAAAGGCACAGAGTGAGTAACGTTGCTTGTGATACGTAGTGTATTTTTTAACCAATGTCCACGTTTGAAAATTTTGCTAGATATGTGTTGGATGCGAGTGTTGAATCTTAAGATGCAATGAAGATGAATGATGATAAACCACCATATGATTACACGAATCACATGCTGGATATCCAACAAGCTTACGATTTATGTCAAAACTTTAAGATCAGGTAAACTCCAGGTCAGCTTTGATTTAGCTTTTGCTGCAAAGGTGGTAAAAATGAATTTAGGTTTTGAAGTTACTAAAGAGATTTCTAGCCACAATAGTAATCTCCACAGACCTGTCACCAAGTGAAAGTCCAGTACTGGGCCATCTCTTAGCAGGAAGCTAATACTGAAGTATTTCTGACATGAAGGGTAGGTTGCAAAAATCTGATTTCGTCCTTAGTCAAAGTTCAATGGGAATATTTACCCAGAGGACATAATTCCACTTCTACAATCCATACTATCATTTTTTTTTTTTCAACAAGTCGGCCGTCTCCCACCGAGGCAGGGTGACCCAAAAAAGAAAGAAAATCCCCAAAAAGAAAATACTTTCATCATCATTCAACACTTTCACCACACTCACAAATTATCACTGTTTTTGCAGAGGTGCTCAGAATACAACAGTTTAGAAGCATACACATATAAAGATACATAACATATCCCTCCAAACTGCCAATATCCCAAACCCCTCCTTTAAAGTGCAGGCATTGTACTTCCCATTTCCAGGACTCAAGTCCGACTATATGAAAATAACCGGTTTCCCTGAATCCCTTCACTAAATATTACCCTGCTCACACTCCAACAGATCGTCAGGTCCCAAGTACCATTCGTCTCCATTCACTCCTATCTAACACGCTCACGCACGCTTCCTGGAAGTCCAAGCCCCTGGCCCACAAAACCTCCTTTATCCCCCTCTCTCCAACCCTTTCAAGGATGACCCCTACCCTGCCTTCCTTCCCCTATAGATTTATATGCTTTCCATGTCATTCTACTTTGATCCATTCTCTCTAAATGACCAAACCACCTCAACAACTCCTCTTCTGCCGTCTGACTAATACTTTTATTAACTCCACACCTTTTCCTAATTTCCATACTCCGAATTTTCTGCATAATATTTACACCACACATTGCCCTTAGGTAGTAGGTAGTAGGTTGGTAGACAGCAACCACCCAGGGAAGTACTACCGTCCTGCCAGATGACTGTGAAACAAAAACCTGTAACTGTTTTGCATGATGGTAGGATTGCTGGTTTCTTTTTCTGTCTCATAAACACGCTAAGATAACAGGGATATCTTGCTACTCCTACTTACACTTTGGTCACACTTCACAGACACGCACATGCATATATATATATACATACATCTAGGTTTTTCTCTTTTTTCTAAATAGCTCTTGTTCTTTTTTATTTCTTCTATTGTCCATGGGGAAGTGGAAAAGAATCTTTCCTCCGTAAGCCATGCGTGTCGTATGAGGCGACTAAAATGCCGGGAGCAATGGGCTAGTAACCCCTTCTCCTGTATACAATTACTAAAAAAGAGAAGAAGAAAAACTTTATAAAAACTGGGTTGCTTAAATGTGCGTGGATGTAGTGCGGATGACAAGAAACAGATGATTGCTGATGTTATGAATGAAAAGAAGTTGGATGTCCTGGCCCTAAGCGAAACAAAGCTGAAGGGGGTAGGAGAGTTTCAGTGGGGGGAAATAAATGGGATTAAATCTGGAGTATCTGAGAGAGTTAGAGCAAAGGAAGGGTAGCAGTAATGTTAAATGATCAGTTATGGAAGGAGAAAAGAGAATATGAATGTGTAAATTCAAGAATTATGTGGATTAAAGTAAAGGTTGGATGCGAGAAGTTGGTCATAATAAGCGTGTATGCACCTGGAGAAGAGAGGAATGCAGAGGAGAGAGAGAGATTTTGGGAGATGTTAAGTGAATGTATAGGAGCCTTTGAACCAAGTGAGAGAGTAATTGTGGTAGGGGACTTGAATGCTAAAGTAGGAGAAACTTTTAGAGAGGGTGTGGTAGGTAAGTTTGGGGTGCCAGGTGTAAATGATAATGGGAGCCCTTTGATTGAACTTTGTATAGAAAGGGGTTTAGTTATAGGTAATACATATATTTAAGAAAAAGAGGATAAATAAGTATACACGATATGATGTAGGGCGAAATGACAGTAGTTTGTTGGATTATGTATTGGTAGATAAAAGACTGTTGAGTAGACTTCAGGATGTACATGTTTATAGAGGGGCCACAGATATATCAGATCACTTTCTAGTTGTAGCTATACTGAGAGTAAAAGGTAGATGGGATACAAGGAGAATAGAAGCATCAGGGAAGAGAGAGGTGAAGGTTTATAAACTAAAAGAGGAGGCAGTTAGGGTAAGATATAAACAGCTATTGGAGGATAGATGGGCTAATGAGAGCATAGGCAATGGGGTCGAAGAGGTATGGGGTAGGTTTAAAAATGTAGTGTTAGAGTGTTCAGCAGAAGTTTGTGGTTACAGGAAAGTGGGTGCAGGAGGGAAGAGGAGCGATTGGTGGAATGATGATGTAAAGAGAGTAGTAAGGGAGAAAAGTTAGCATATGAGAAGTTTTTACAAAGTAGAAGTGATGCAAGGAGGGAAGAGTATATGGAGAAAAAGAGAGAAGTTAAGAGAGTGGTGAAGCAATGTAAAAAGAGAGCAAATGAGAGAGTGGGTGAGATGTTATCAACAAATTTTGTTGAAAATAAGAAAAAGTTTTGGAGTGAGATTAACAAGTTAAGAAAGCCTAGAGAACAAATGGATTTGTCAGTTAAAAAATAGGAGAGGAGAGTTATTAAATGGAGAGTTAGAGGTATTGGGAAGATGGAAGGAATATTTTGAGGAATTGTTAAATGTTGATGAAGATAGGGAAGCTGTGATTTCGTGTATAGGGCAAGGAGGAATAACATCTTGTAGGAGTGAGGAAGAGCCAGTTGTGAGTGTGGGGGAAGTTCGTGAGGCAGTAGGTAAAATGAAAGGGGGTAAGGCAGCCGGGATTGATGGGATAAAGATAGAAATGTTAAAAGCAGGTGGGGATATAGTTTTGGAGTGGTTGGTGCAATTATTTAATAAATGTATGGAAGAGGGTAAGGTACCTAGGGATTGGCAGAGAGCATGCATAGTTCTTTGTATAAAGGCAAAGGGGATAAAAGAGAGTGCAAAAATTATAGGGGGATAAGTCTGTTGAGTGTACCTGGTAAAGTGTATGGTAGAGTTATAATTGAAAGAATTAAGAGTAAGACGGAGAATAGGATAGCAGATGAACAAGGAGGCTTTAGGAAAGGTAGGGGGTGTGTGGACCAGGTGTTTACAGTGAAACATATAAGTGAACAGTATTTAGATAAGGCTAAAGAGGTCTTTGTGGCATTTATGGATTTGGAAAAGGCGTATGACAGGGTGGATAGGGGGCAATGTGGCAGATGTTGCAAGTGTATGGTGTAGGAGGTAGGTTACTGAAAGCAGTGAAGAGTTTTTACGAGGATAGTGAGGCTCAAGTTAGAGTATGTAGGAAAGAGGGAAATTTTTTCCCAGTAAAAGTAGGCCTTAGACAAGGATGTGTGATGTCACCGTGGTTGTTTAATATATTTATAGATGGGGTTGTAAGAGAAGTAAATGCGAGGGTTTTGGCAAGAGGCGTGGAGTTAAAAGATAAAGAATCACACACAAAGTGGGAGTTGTCACAGCTGCTCTTTGCTGATGACACTGTGCTCTTGGGAGATTCTGAAGAGAAGTTGCAGAGATTGGTGGATGAATTTGGTAGGGTGTGCAAAAGAAGAAAATTAAAGGTGAATACAGGAAAGAGTAAGGTTATGAGGATAACAAAAAGATTAGGTGATGAAAGATTGAATATCAGATTGGAGGGAGAGAGTATGGAGGAGGTGAACGTATTCAGATATTTGGGAGTGGACGTGTCAGCGGATGGGTCTATGAAAGATGAGGTGAATCATAGAATTGATGAGGGAAAAAAGAGTGAGTGGTGCACTTAGGAGTCTGTGGAAACAAAGAACTTTGTCCTTGGAGGCAAAGAGGGGAATGTATGAGAGTATAGTTTTACCAACGCTCTTATATGGGTGTGAAGCGTGGGTGATGAATGTTGCAGCGAGGAGAAGGCTGGAGGCAGTGGAGATGTCATGTCTGAGGGCAATGTGTGGTGTGAATATAATGCAGAGAATTCGTAGTTTGGAAGTTAGGAGGAGGTGCGGGATTACCAAAACTGTTGTCCAGAGGGCTGAGGAAGGGTTGTTGAGGTGGTTCGGACATGTAGAGAGAATGGAGCGAAAACAGAATGACTTCAAGAGTGTATCAGTCTGTAGTGGAAGGAAGGCGGGGTAGGGGTCGGCCTAGGAAGGGTTGGAGGGAGGGGGTAAAGGAGGTTTTGTGTGCGAGGGGCTTGGACTTCCAGCAGGCATGCGTGAGCGTGTTTGATAGGAGTGAATGGAGACAAATGGTTTTTAATACTTGACGTGCTGTTGGAGTGTGAGCAAAGTAACATTTATGAAGGGATTCAGGGAAACCGGCAGGCCGGACTTGAGTCCTGGAGATGGGAAGTACAGTGCCTGCACTCTGAAGGAGGGGTGTTAATGTTGCAGTTTAAAAACTGTAGTGTAAAGCACCCTTCTGGCAAGACAGTGATGGAGTGAATGATGGTGAAAGTTTTTCTTTTTCGGGCCACCCTGCCTTGGTGGGAATCGGCCGGTGTGATAATAAATAATAAAAAAACATTGCCCTTAAACAGGACATCTCCACTGCCTCCAACCGTCTCCTCGCTGCTGCATTTACCACCCAAGCTTCACACCCATATAAGAGTGTTGGTACTACTATACTTTCATACATTCCCTTCTTTGCCTCCATAGATAACGTTTTTTGACTCCACATATACCTCAACGCACCACTCACCTTTTTTCCCTCATCAATTCTATGATTAACCTCATCCTTCATAAATCCATCCGCCGACACGTCAACTCCCAAGTATCTGAAAACATTCACTTCTTCCATACTCCTCCTCCCCAATTTGATATCCAATTTTTCTTTATCTAAATCATTTGATACCCTCATCACCTTACTCTTTTCTATGTTCACTTTCAACTTTCTACCTTTACACACATTCTCAAACTCATCCACTAACCTTTGCAATTTTTCTTTAGAATCTCCCATAAGCACAGTATCATCAGCAAAAAGTAACTGTGTCAATTCCCATTTTGAATTTGATTCTCCCAAAATTTAATCCCACCCCTCTCCTGAACACCCTAGCATTTACTTCCTTTACAACCCCATCTATAAATATATTAAACAACCACGGTGACATTACACATCCCTGTCTAAGACCTACTTTTACCGGGAAGTAGTCTCCCTCTCTTCTACACACCCTAACCTGAGCCTCACTATCCTCATAAAAACTCTTTACAGCATTTAATAACTTACCACCTATTCCATATACTTGCAACATCTGCCACATTGCTCCTCTATCCACTCTATCATATGCCTTTTCTAAATCCATAAATGCAATAAAAACTTCCCTACCTTTATCTAAATACTGTTCACATATATGCTTCAATGTAAACATGATCTACACATCCCCTACCTACTCTGAAATCTCCCTGCTCATCCGCAATCCTACATTCTGTCTTACTTCTAATTCTTTCAAATTATAACCCTAGCGTACACTTTTCCTGGTATACTCAGTAAACTTATTCCTCTATAATTTTTACAGTCTCTTTTGTCCCCTTTCCCTTTATATAAAGGGACTATACATTCTCTCTGCCAATCCCTAGGTACCTTCCCCTCTTTCATACATTTTTTAAACAAAAGTACCAACCACTCCAACACTATATCCCCCCCTGCTTTTAACATTTCTGTCATGATCCCATCAGTTCCAGCTGCTTTACCCCCTTTCATTCTACGTAATGCCTCACGTACTTCCCCCACACTTACATTCTGCTCTTCTTCACTCCTAAAAGATGGTATACCTCCCTGACCAGTGCATGAAATTACTGCCTCTGTTTCTTCCTTAACATTTAAAAGTTCCTCAAAATATTCTCGCCATCTACCTAATACCTCCATCTCCCCATCTACTAACTCCCCTACTCTGTTTTTAACTGACAAATCCATACTTTCCCTTGGCTTTCTTAACTTGTTTAACTCACTCCAAAATTTTTTCTTTTCATTAAAATTTCTTGACAGTGCCTCTCCCACTATCTGCTCTCCTTTTGCACTCTCTCACCACTCTCTTTACCTTTCTTTTACTCTCCATATACTCTGCTCTTCTTATAACACTTCTGCTTTGTAAAAACCTCTCATAAGCTACCTTTTTCTCTTTTATCACACCCTTTACTTCATCATTCTACCAATCACTCCTCTTTCCTCCTGCCCCCACCCTCCTATAACCACAAACTTCTGCCCCACATTCTAATACTGCATTTTTAAAACTATTCCAACCCTCTTCAACCCCCCCACTACTCATCTTTGCACTAGCCCACCTTTCTGCCAATAGTGGGTTATAATAAGCGTGTATGCACCTGGAGAAGAGAGAAGTGTAGAGGAGAGAGAGATATTTTGGGAAATGTTGAGTGAATGCGTGGGGAGTTTTGAACCAAGTGTGAGAGTAATGGTGATTGGGGATTTCAATGCTAATGTGGGTAAAAATGTTATAGAGGTAGTAGGAGGTAAATTTGGGGTGCCAGGGGTAAATGTAAATGGGGAGCCTTTAATTGAGCTATGTGTAGAAAGAGATTTGGTAATAAGTAATACATATTTTATGAAAAAGAGGATAAATAAATATACAAGGTATGATGTAGCACGTAATGAAAGTAGTTTATTAGATTATGTATTGGTGGATAAAAGGTTGATGGGTAGGCTCCAGGATGTACATGTTTATAGAGGGGCAACTGATATATCGGATCATTATTTAGTTGTAGCTACAGTTAGAGTAAGAGGTAGATGGGAAAAGAGGAAGGTGGCAACAACAAGTAATAGGGAGGTGAAAGTGTATAAACTAAGGGAGGAGGAAGTTCGGGTGAGATATAAGCGACTATTGGCAGAATACTATCATTATTAATATTAAATTAACATGATGCTAAATCCGTATGGGTCATACACCACCTAGGGAAATGGGAGACAATTGGGTCCAATGCAAGGAGAGGACAGATCCAATTCCATGGATCAAAAGACTCCCCCTTAGCATCAAGGCACCTCCTACCAGGGGCCTTCAAGCAACAGAACTGGATTCTCATGACCAGCAATCATGAAAAAGGATGACCTACTAGCAGACTATACAGTTAAAAGGATAGATTTATTATGCACCTCATATTGAGCTTGTGGGTCATGGGCAGTAGTTAAAAGACACACAATGAGTCCAGGAACTGGGCCCCCAACAGTTTAACTAAACAAGCTACAGAAGAAAAGAATTATTTACAAATTTATTAATTCGATAGTCCATACAACACAAAGATGTATGTCTGAGATCCAGATAGGCAATCTCTATGGCTGGTTATGAGAAATTATTAAAATTACTGTAATTCAAAAACAGGCAGATGCTATCTCTTTAAATGCTGGAAAGTTATGGATCTGGAAAAGGTTGGCTCCCATACTACTGTTAACTAGGAGCAGAGATCAAATGACCTCTCCCAGCTCCTCCAATCCTCCCTAGCATAAGCAAGCAATATTGTGAAAAGAAAATGTAGTTAAAATTAACCAGTGTCAAAGAAGAACACTTTCATTATCCATTAATGCTGACATAACTCATTTTTGCCAAAATGAACCAATTTTCCAATTTATAACAAAAGCCCTCTGAATGATGGGATTGTATTGACATCTAAGAGGTTTGGTAAATGTCAAGCTCAGGTTAATACCTAACATTAAAGAGCAAAACACATACATTATAAACTGTCTATTCTTTCTACTAGAATTATAAAGACAAAGTCACAGTCCAGATTTTTTTATTCATGTAAAGCACGAGTGCAGTGGAATTTAGTCATGTGCACAGGTTGACCATTCAGAGTAATATCTGATAACATAATGAATAATTTAGCAACCATACATAAAACATAATATAATAGCTTAGGTCAATTTTATATCAATAAATGTATACAAACCTTAATATTGGAAAGTACAGTGAGGTTATCCACTTGGACAATGTGCCTGGCTAGAGGCCAGAGAAGTGAAATACACAACGAAGAATTTATACAGTTGGCTGTGTGGATGTTTATGAGGATCCATGCATAATCTTCCCAGCCGCTTGTTATGTAGTGCAAGATGAGCAGGCCCAAATAATTCTCCAATTCCTGAGTCATCTAACAAATACATCAGAAAAATTTAGAAATTAATAAAAGCTATTACTTTCACAAAAAATATATTACAGCTAAATGTGTAAGGCACTAGTGAATAGCATAAGCCATGGTCTAGTCAAACCCACTGATGTTATTGATATCAGCTAGGCCCGCATACACTGTCCATGTACTTGTACAAATAAAGATTATTATTAACTATGTCAAACAAAACCATCTCATCTAACTGTCTCTGTTCTTCCTGTCTTCCTCCAACTCCCACAGAAAATTGATTACTCATCTTGTCCCATTGTATTTCTAATGTAAGTAGCTTCCTGTATCTTCACCATATCTATTCAATCACTCCATGAAAATGAAGCTTGAAATAACAAGTCATACTTTCAAACATGATGGTAAGATTGCTGGAGTCTTTTTTGTCTAATAAATATGCAAGATATCAGGCATGTCTTGCTACTTCTACTTGCACTTAGGTCATGCTACACATGCATGTATAAACATGTATACACCCCTCTGGGTTTTCTTATATTTTCTTACTAGTTCTTGTTTACTTCCTCGTATCTCCAGGGGGAAGTGGAATAGAATTCTTCCTCCATAAGCCATGCATGTCATAAGAGGCGACTAAAATGCTGGGAGCAAGGGGCTAGTAACCCCTTATCCTGTACACATTACTAAAGTTAAAATGAGAAACTTGCATTTTTCTTTTTGGGCCTCCCTGCCTCGGTGGGATGCAGCCAGTTTGTTGAAAGAAGAAAGAAGACCTTTAAACATGTACCATTGCTCATTGGCTACCTTTCTTACTGTGCATATAACTGTAATGAACTGCATAAGAAATCCTACTTAATAGTCGATGTCCAATTCTCAAGAAGTCTTTAAGCATTAGAATTAGTTTGCATTAGACTAGTGGCTTTCTTTTGTATCTAACAATGTTTTATTACATGTAAACATTATCTCTGTACCACATGCTACACAAACAATCAGGTTTTATATTAAGCATAGATATTAAGTGTGGTCCTAGGTACAGTGGAACCTCAAAAATCGAACGTATCACATATCGAACGTTTCGAAAATAGGACCATTTTTTCGGACAAACTGTGTCCCTATTATCGAACGCGCCCCTATTTTCGAACCGCCGGGTACGGGACCTGTCTGCCGCCCGCTCTGTCCACGTCTCCGCGCAGGTGCCGTGAGCAGTCTAGCTTTATTTATGCTTGAGTGAACACTAACCTGCGCTCTCATTCACACATTTTATGATTATTTCGTTGTGTTTAGTGCTTGTGGGACTGTGAAATAAGCTGCCATGGGCCCAAAGAAACTTGCTAGTGGTAACCCTGTGGTAAAGAAAGTGAGAATCACCATAGATGTGAAGAAGGAAATAATGCAGAAGTATGAGAGTGGTGTGAGACTTGTTGAGCTTGCCAGGATGTATGGGAAAAGCAAGTCGACCATCGGTTCTATTCTGTCAAAGAAAGAACAAATCAAGGAAGCTGATGTTGCAAAAGGTGTTAATATAGGGAGTGGATGAGGTGCCTTCTTCAAAGATTAAGGAGATTTGTGCCAAGTGGAATGATGTCCAAATGTTTGTGCAGAAGTACCACCCTGAGCAAGCTGAAACAAGCCATCGTTGCAACAAGTTCAGTGACAGAACCATGTCCCATTTTAGGGAAATGTTAAAGAGGTGCCAGAAACAGAGGACTGTGGACAGTTATTTTGTGAGACAGGGGTCCAGTGACTCAAGCTGGAGGTCCTAGTGGCATTAAAAGACAGAGAAGGGAAGTAACCCCAGAGAGGGCTTTACCTGAAGTCCTCATGGAGGGGGATTCTCCTTCCAAACACTAACCCGAACTCCCTCTCTCCTCCTCCCCATCTTCCAGATGCCATCACCAATCTTCAATAAAGGTAAGAAAAAATGTTGTATGTAAAACTGTAATTAATCTCTATAAAATGTATTTTTTTGTGTGAATATTTTTGGGTTTCTTTAACGGATTAACTGTATTTCCATTATTTCTTATGGGAAATATTGCTTCGAATTTCAGACTTTTCAAATTTAGAACTAGCTCCTGGAACGGATTAAGTTCGATTTTTGAGGTTCCACTGTAGTAGGTTGGTAGACAGCAACCACCCAAAGGGGTACTACCGTCCTGCCAAGTGAGTGTGAAACGAAAGCCTTTGATTGTTTTACATGATGATAGGATTGCTGGCGTCCTTTTTTCAGTCTCATGAACATGCAAGATTTCAGGTACGTCTTGCTACTTCTACTTACACTTAGGTCACACTACACATACATGTACAAGCATACATATACACACCCCTCTGGGTTTTCTTTATTTTCTTTCTAGTTCTTATTCTTGTTTATTTCCTCTTATCTCCATGGGGAAGTGGAACAGAATTCTTCCTCCGTAAGCCATGCGTGTTGTAAGAGGAGACTAAAATGCCGGGAGCAAGGGGCTAGTTACCCCTTCTCCTGTATAAATTACTAAATTTAAAAAGAAACTTTTGTTTTTCTTTTTGGGCCACCCTGCCTCGGTGGGATACGGCCGGTTTGTTGAAAGAAAGATTAAGTGTGGTCCTAGGTAGTAGGTTGGTAGACAGCAACCACCCAGGGAGGTTCTACCATCCTGCCAAATGAATGTAAAATGGAAACCTGTAACTGTTTTACATGATGGTAGGATTGCTGGTGTCTCTTTTCTGTCTCATAAACATGCAAGATTTCAGGTACGACTTGCTACTTCTACTTACACTTAGGTCACACTACACATACATGTACAAGCATATATACACACACCTCTGGGTTTTCTTCTATTTTCTTTCTAGTTCTTGTTCTTGTTTATTTCCTCTTATCTCCATGGGGAAGTGGAACAGAATTCTTCCTCCGTAAGCCATGCGTGTTGTAAGAGGCAACTAAAATGCCGGGAGCAAGGGGCTAGTAACCCCTTCTGTATAAATTACTAAATTGAAAGAGAGAAACTTTTCTTTTTCTTTTTGGGCCACCCTGCCTCGGTGGGATATGGCGGTTTGTCGAAAAAAAAAAAATTAAGTGTGGTACCTGTAATTGTTTTACACAATGAATGGATTGCTGGTGTCTTTTCTTTGTCTCACTACACACATGCAAGATAACAGGTACATCTTTTCTTATTTTTTCTATTACACTTGTTTATTACTACAGGAATGACACAATTTTTATCTCCTACTCATGGAGAAGTGGAGAAAATGCCGGAGCCTCTTAGCCATGCATGTTGTGTATAATTACATACAAAAAAAGAAATTGTTTACATGGGGTAACAGCATACAATGCTCAGGGAAATGATAATTAAGATGGGTCTAGGCGTTGGAGAGGCGAAATATGAAATTAGGGACACGCCAGGGAGTTCAATTCCATACGAGCCACAGGATGTTATGGAAACGTATTTTTCATCTTGATGGAAATCATTTAATGTTAGTTCTTTTCTACAAAAACTGTACAGATTAAAACTATGTTCAGATTTAATTGGTCATCCTAAAAATAGTTACAAACATATTAAACATGAACTAATCTTTTCATTGGCAGCTTGATCAGTTATTTATTCATGGGAAGTGCTAAACTCCACTGACGTCATACCATGCATTAAGAAATAGGAGGTAATCAGGTTCATCCAGAACCCTTTACAATTTCCTTTGATAATGAACCCTTTTCACCACATCAAAGCCCTTCGAAGGATAATTTAATTAAAAAAAAATCACAATCTAAAAATGGAACCTGTTGTTTTACAAATATGCATTCTGGTTTTTTGTAAAAGGCTAACAGGTACACTCTGAATTTAATTACCATTAGTGTAAATATAACAAAATTACACTATTATCAGCCAATTCATTCTAGAAGAAACACCTTCTTTACAATGACAGTAGATACTAATTACAAAAAATAAAGATTTCAAGAGAAATTCGCTTACAAATGGTAGGAAATGTTTAAATAGGTCATTTGATGCATACTCATGAACAAACTCGATTACATTCACATAGATGCATACAGTAAAAGTGATATTCCAGGTGACAATCATTAATTTATCTATTCCAATGACTGTACAGCAAGTAAAACTATTCTATCAAAATCTCCCAGATATTGTTAAATATCATTTCCAAATCACTATCATTATTGCACTATCATAATGTTTGCCAGAGTGCAAGCCATGAGAGTTGCCAATGCATTAACAACCAATAAAGTGAGGTAATCTGCTGTTTCCAATGTGTGCTTCTTGAAATTAACTGTCTAATGATCAATAGCCTTTAATATATGTTATAAAAAACAATAATTGAAAACAATATTACTATGTCCAGTTATGATTATATCTAGTGGCTTTTGTATTAAACTAATTACAGTAATTGAAGCTACAAAATCGTAATTACAAACATTGAGACTCTTATCGCAGGTTCCATCCTGCAAGTGACATTTTTTACAGTAGCCTAGTCTAATTAAAAATTATTAAGACCCAGTTCGGAAACCATTTAATAGTCTTGGGTAATTTTTTTTTCATATCATCCCTCCATACAGGCTAGGATAGGTACAATGCATAATAAATAGTGCAATACAGATCAATATCAATACACAAGACAAAAAATAGACATAAAATTTCCTCATGTTAAAGTTGCAATGCTCAGGTAGTAGTGCAGATGCCAAGATGATAAGTTAAAATTAAAACAATACTTAAATTGACTGCTAAGGTCTGGTTTGATATAATTACATCACTTTTGATTTCTTGGTCCTGTGACTATACTGGTTCAAACCTGAACACGAATATCACTCCCAGATGACTATTCTTGCTTGTAGGTAAATCTGCTGATTATATTATCCAACATGATATGAAATGGCCCTGCAGAGGTTAATCCCCGAGTGGTAGGCGAGTATCCAAGAATATTTTTCCTATAATTTTTGCTATTACAAGTTTTTCCTTTTCTTCCTACACGTCTAAATTTAAAAGTATTATGTACTCTCTCTGAAAAAAAGGAAGAATCTTCCAATTTTTTCTTCAGTGTAATTATTTTTTTTGGCTTATTGCTTGTTTGACTTGTTACAGGACTTAGAGAATTTCTTGAATAATTCTCAGCTACTGGCTGGTTATTATTTTCAGGCAAATTGCACTCTTCAGAACACTGTCCAACACTAGTCAAGAAATCTTGCTTTACAGGTTCTGGTATTCCTATTATTTTATCAGAGCTGGAAATTTGGTCTCTAGTATTTGGGGCTTCATCTTCCAACCTGCAATTGGCTCTAAATTTCTTATTGCAATTATGACTGGTAGTCAAATGCCATCTGTTTTTACTGGAACCTGAGATAGCTGAGGTATCACATTCATTAATGGTTAAATCATCTACACAGAATTTATCCTTAGATGTATTATACACATTATCATTCCACATTTCTACTGTACTTTCTTGACTAATGTCAGATTCTGTTGTCTGTAATTTTTGATACTCTGAATTATGCTGGCATTCAAATTCCACATCACTGTCCCTGAAATTTTAAACTAAATGAGTATTATATTTTCTAGTTAAATGACAAATAATGAAAAATTATAAATTCTCCCAAACTAAATTTTTTTTTAATTAACCAAACCCACCATAGACATTCTGCCCAACCAGTGTAAAGAACTATGTATAATTCTCTACCTAATGTACTCCTACAACTACATTTTATGAGCGAATGGAAAATTTTACTCTTTGTATTTCACCTATATGTTTTCAGAAAAATAATGTCAAATTTCCACCACATCTTTCAAAAGGTCATGACAGTGATAAATACAGTATACACTTCAAAGTATTTTGCTGGCTAATTTCAACTTACATTCCATCCAAGCTGCTAGCATATATAGAGAGCACATCTCCATTATCTGAGTCAGACAAGCTCTTGGATACCATAGTTTCCACCTCACCTACAAAACAGCAGTAATAACAGCTTTAACATAAATTTCATAAAATTTGATAAAATACAAATCTTTACTTCAAAATTACTGTATAAAACGTACAAATATCAGAGGACCCATATAATAAATAGCATCCTAATTCTTACAGCACTAAGCAATGCCTTACAAAAAAAATATACAATTGCAACAAAAAAAAGAACATGTTGTGGGAACAAAGGTACAGCAAAATCTGGCCATATTCTGTATTCAGTCCTCAGAGATAATGATTACTAAACCTTTAGTGATGCGCAAGTTGCACCCATATTAAATTTTTCAAGCAGTTAACAATATATGTAGATACGTAATTCAAAGACAGTTGAGTAAAGTATGTTACAGATAGTACTGAGGGATTAAGATTACTCTAAGATTGTACCGCTTTTATTATAAAGCTGTAAAATATACAGTAGGTCATCAATATCATTTAAGTAGTTGGATACTAGAAATGAAACCAAAACCGAAACTTTTTAAATCCATTATAAAAGTAAATATTAAGTACTACTGTATATAGCATAATTTTAATCAAGAAGGTCAAGCACTTTAACTAGAACTGAACATTGAAAAGCAGTATAAATAACTGGGACTGGCTAGGATACATTAGGGATGTACTCAGGTATACCATAAAATTGTCAGCTATACGTACTAGTCAAATCGGGCATTGTGTGGCAGAAAAAATAAGCGCCGCCACAGCCAAAATCCGGGTTAACAAACAAATAGTTTCCTTAAAGTTTCCTCTGTTCATGGGATGTGTAGATATTGTCCTCTGCATCTGTAAGCTCAGAGCCCCATAACAAAGTATGGTAACTTGAGCTTCATAGCTCCAATCTCCCCAAAGCCTGATTTTCTCCACCAAGTCTGGTACCTATTCTTTTCTGCCACATGTCATCATTAAGAAGGCATGAATAACACAAGACCTTACTTTCATATGGTCTCGAAAAAAAAAAAAAATTGTGCACAAGGCAAGGGAGCATTGGAAAAATATCTTTCTCCCTAACCACTACCAATTTCTCAAAAGCTCTCATATTGTGCTGATGAATGCTCAAACACTTAATACAGTGGACCCCCGCCACTTTTTTCTTCAGTGCCAAACGAGGGAAAGAATTGAGCATTTAAACATGGCTGACCGGCATCCAAACAGCCGCTACTGCCAGACGTACAACTAGCGAAGTGAAATTCTCATCTTTACTGACGTTCATCTGTTGACAGTAGCATCATATCTGTACCACCATCATATCACCTGTACCAATGCTAACGAGAGGGAAACACAGGAGACATCGTCAAATCAACAGTACAAAACTCCAAGGTTATAGGTCGGATATCCCTCAGTGCCAGTCATGAGAAAGAAGTGAATAGTTAAACAGTCAAGGTTAATGTTTTAGTAGCTGACCTATATTCAGCTGACCAGTGTACAGTGAATCATAGCAGAAAATGCCAAATATATCTATAAACTCAAGGAAAGTCAGGTTGTAGGTGGTGTTACTCCCCTCAGTGTTTTAAAAATGGCTGAGTCAGCAGAACAGGTCAGGAGACAACACCACCACACAACCCCCGATAAATGGAATTGAGGGGGATTTGGAAGGATAAAACCATGGATTAAACCTTTCTGATCTACCAGAATGGAAAGGAGTTATAAGTTAATTGAGGAAGCCAGACTGTGAAGTGAGATGGGAAGGGGAGTGTGTAATAAGGGGTTAACTGTAAGGGTTTTGTGAAGTTAAGGGAAAAGTGAGCAGTGAAGAGGGTTTTGAAGAGGAAATTTTACTAGTAATTCAGTGGTGATTGCTAAAGCAGATACTAAGTGTACTAGGGACTGGAAAAGAGAAATAAATATTATTGTATATGAGTAAAAGAGCGAAGAGTGAAAATGGCAGGCATTAGGGGGGTACAGGCTGCCATAATTACATTTATATTTCTTCTTCAATTCCATGAAGAAAGAAATCAGTCATTGGGGTTGGAAAAGGTGAATGGAGTAACAGCGCCCTGGACAGTAAAAGCCCAACAGTTGCCATCCTACCAGAAAAGTAAATGTCACTATCACCACATACCCAAACAAAAACAGTGGCACACAGCTCTTATTGTAGTGCTCTTAAGTGGTGATATCCAAATTAATCCAGGACCTCAAACTATTATGCAGAGGCAAAACAGACAGATAAATGACGGCAAACAGTGTCCAGAATATCGACAAACACTGTCCAGAATATCTTGCTGTCAATTTTGTCAAGGTTGGGAACCAAAGCAATCATAGTACTAGGGGGAGAGAGCACAACTTTGTAGTACCCACAGTCATTGGCCAGGCTTCAAACACCTTTTATTGTACAGCAATAAAGGAATGGAACAGACTACCCGCACATGTCAAAGCCAGTCATAGCATGAACCAGTTCAAGAAGAGTGCCAAAAGGTGTCTGATGAATGTAGCTACAGAAAGGGAGGGGAATGATTTTCTATTTTTTATCTAACATACGTGTAAATTTTACCTTATTCCTAGTAATGACCCTCGTATTGTAGATAGTCTTAATGACCCTCATGTAGTAGATAGTCTTTTTAGTATGATAATAAGATGTTATCTTCATTATAGAATAATAAGAAAATATTATAACCTTTATATTATAATAATAAGGTAAAAGGACCCCAATGGAAATAAGTCACTCTGTCTGACTTTTTTGGGTTATCCTAGGTTCTCTACACATATGCTGCTATGTATGATAATTCTATGTAACTGTATTTGTGTATACCTGAATAAACTTACTTACTTACTTACTAAATCCACCATATGAAGCATTTGAACGCAAAAATTTTGTCTCGCCTCACGTGATTCGTCTGGGACGCGTCCCACGTGTGGCCTCAGCACCAGTGTTTACAAGCCAGCCAGTGCGGTTGAATCTATGCATACATTTGGTACATTTCACATTATCCCAGTGTTTTTAGTTTACCTGGAGTTTACCTGGAGAGAGTTCCGGGGGTCAACGCCCCCACGGCCCGTTCTGTGACTAGGCCTCCTGGTGGATCAGAGCCTTGTAACTGCAAAATAAGTCACCATGGACCCCAAGAAAGCTTCTAGTGCCCTACATCATATTTTGTATACTTATTTATCCTCTTTTTCTTAAAATATGTATTACCTATAACTAAACCCCTTTCTATACAAAGTTCAATCAAAGGGCTCCCATTATCATTTACACCTGGCACCCCAAACTTACCTACCACACCCTCTCTAAAAGTTTCTCCTACTTTAGCATTCAGGTCCCCTACCACAATTACTCTCTCACTTGGTTCAAAGGCTCCTATACATTCACTTAACATCTCCCAAAATCTCTCTCTCCTCTACATTCCTCTCTTCTCCAGGTGCATACACGCTTATTATGACCCACTTTTCGCATCCAACCTTTACTTTAATCCACATAATTCTTGAATTTACACATTCATATTCTCTTTTCCCCTTTCCATAACTGATCATTTAACATTACTGCTACCCCTTCCTTTGCTCTAACTCTCTCAGATACTCCAGATTTAATCCCATTTTTTTTCCCCCCACTGAAACTCCCCTACCCCCTTCAGCTTTGTTTCGCTTAGGGCCAGGACATCCAACTTCTTTTCATTCATAACATCAGCAATCATCTTTTTTCTTGTCATCCGCACTACATCCACGCACATTTAAGCATCCCAGTTTTATAAAGCTTTTCTTCTTCTCTTTTTTAGTAAATGTCTACAGGAGAAGGGTTACTAGCCCATTGCTCCCGGCATTTTAGTCGCCTCATACGACACGCATGGCTTACGGAGGAAAGATTCTTTTCCACTTCCCCATGGACAATAGAAGAAATAAAGAAGAACAAGAGCTATTTAGAAAAAGGGGAAAAACCTAGATGTATGTATATATATATGCATGTGCGTGTCTGTGAAGTGTGACCAAAGTGTAAGTAGGAGTAGCAAGATATCCCTGTTATCTAGCGTGTTTATGAGACAGAAAAAGAAACCAGCAATCCTACCATCATGCAAAACAGTTACAGGTTTCTGTTTCACAGTCATCTGGCAGGACGGTAGTACTTCCCTGGGTGGTTGCTGTCTACCAACCTACTACCTACGTCTAATATACGTTCACAAATGTGGTGATATTATTTATACAATTATTACAATATTGCATAACAGTAAATCTTCTAATTTTTGGTTTGAATGAAAATTCATTATGTGAATAAAAAATCTAAGTGGAATTAATTTGTAAAGCCTGAAAACATAACTAATGAACAGAGGAAATGCTAGTTTAGTGCCAGGAATGCCTGCACTGTTTATTCTGGACCCTATTTTGAAATTGGAATATTTTGACCTTTGTGTTAAATTGGCCAAATTACCAATTTCCGATCACTTTATTTTGTAGTTGAAACCAGTTGACTTGGCGATTTCTTGTGCTCAATCGATAGAACAGAAGTAATACTAGTGAAATAGCTAAGAATTTGGTCAACTGGAATAATGTAATTGGCCTAAAATGGGAGTCAAAATCAGCAAAATCGCCGATGCGTAAATATCACCGGCACATCAAAGTTCGTGAGAGCATAATTTCGTCAATTCTCCATCAAATTTCGTACTTTTTATTTTATTACCTTCACAAAAAGATTCAGTACCATTTCATAAAAAAAAAAAAAAATTTAAATTCTTGGACCCTTTGAAATTTGGCCTCTGGACTCTGCAAGGATTAACTAATTCGATAGTGTAAAAAGTCTCTACTAGACTTATCAAAACCATGTAGCATCACCTGATAGAATATTCAATTCTCCTGTATTCATTTTAACTCATATAATGACCATATGAACTATGTATTATTGCCTTACTATTCTTAAGTTAATCTTTAAGTTTGCCCGAAATACTCAGCATACAGAGGGGCTTTTGGCATGTACACCCAACTACTATATTCCACTGTACTGTACAACCATGTAATTTCTCAAAATAAAAAATCTAATCTAATAATTGGAAGAATATGCTGCTGCAAAACAATGCTTCTGCTCACCCAACAGCTGACACCCAAGCATCACCATATGCTTTTGCAAAACTTATTTGCCACTCAACCACAGCTACATCAGTCTATGGATTTAAGAGTGTCTGGTAATTAGGAGTCTAAAGATGAATTATCACAACAGCATATTGGATGACTTTATAGACTTTAAAGTGGCCCTGAGAATTTTGATAAGGAATTCACAATTAAAAATGCACCATATTAAACAGCCAAGAAATGTTATTACTACTGTACTTTTATTGTGAAGAATAATGGAGATAAGATATGGCTTGCTAGCATGTTCTTTGATGATTGCCTACTACATTGTTTATTTTAATGTTGTGAATTCTGAAGGCTTCCTTGTAAATGTGTCCTGCTTAGAAACTTGACATGACTCATGACAACTGACATTGAAAAATGACTTATGGTAATATTTCCGGTCATCAAAACTCAATGACAACAGATACTGCTAATTTAGTCTTGAACCCCAATGAAGTGATGGAAGTGGCAAGCAACCAGTTGATGAAAGTACATATGAATGGATGCCCCTGAAGCATTACAGTTTATTCTGATAATCTCATATCAGATATGAAGTAGAAATATTTCTTTCATAAGCAGCAAATCCAGCATATGTATAAGATGAGGAATGAGTATTAAAGAGACCTCAGCCATTTTAGGAAATTACAAATACCCACAGTGGATGTAAGAGACCATTACTGTAATCTAGTCTCTCTTGACATAATGTTCATTTGAGCTCCATCTACTTCTGCCACCCCAGATATTTTAAATACTATGTACATCAACTGTACCATATATACAACAGTGAAGGCAAATTACTCTCCACAAATTTGAATACAAAACCCCATAGGGCAAGGGAAGCCTATTACTGCTCAATTAATATTGTAATTTAAAGGTTCAGCTAGGTAACTAGAGCTTAAAAAGAAGTTGGACAAGTACAACTGAATACATAAATGCAGTTATATAGAATAAAAAAAAAACAATTAAACAACTTACTTTCATCAAAATTTTCAGTGTTTGACTCTGGCATTTTCATTGGAGGAATGAGCACAGATTCTCCACAAGATGTGCTAGGGAAACCATCAGACCCACCACCACCAGGAAATACTGCATCACTTTCATGACTTGTAACTTCATCTTCTTTCTCTGCACTTTGTAATACATTCACATTTTTTACACTCAGCAAGTCTGTGATCTTGAAGTGCTTATTTTTTAGAATATCCATAGTGAAGTCAGACCCACTGCTAGTTGTACATGTACCCAAATCCATTTTAACCAAATGCCCTTTCAAATCTGTATTCTCAGTGGTTTTATGAACTTTGCCAGTCATCTGATTTATAGTTTGGCTAATATCACACACCTGTGGATCACTGTTCTGCACAGTTACTTCATCTACAGATTTTTCAGTGCATATACGATTGACAGTATCATGACCAAAATTACTAGCAAATGTGCATTCTTCTGTGCCTTTATTATCTGTTGGAATGTCAGACTGTTTCTTATGACCATTTCTATACCTTTTTGAATGTGTACTCTTTTCCTTGTTCAATGAAGCTTCAGAACAATTAACACTTCCAGTTTTTAATGTAGGCTGTAAGAATGCCTCACAACCAACTTGTTCTTCTAACAATCCACTTACACTGTCCTGACATACTTTTGTCTTTTTAGTTTCTGAAGCATCACATGCTACTAGTGAATGAAGCTTTCTCTTCCATCCATGTCTAATTTTATAAGATGATGTAGAACGGTGTGGACAATAGTCAATGATAGCCTGATCAACTTTTTTATAACTTTCATTAATAACAGTACTGGATTCATTCATCATGGTACCTGAAAGTATACTGCTGACTGAAAATTTCTTAACAGTTGAGTTACTAGCAACACTAAAACTTGGTGAATTATGGGTAGTCAGTGTAATACCAAGTTCCTCAATTCCTTTCTCATGGCTGCTAATGCTCCTGGTACCTTCGGCTCCAAGTTCATCAAAGTGAGTTCTCAAATGGGAATCACATTCATTACCTGAAACAAAAAAATTAGATTTATCTTTAAGCAATTTAATTTCTTCGACTTCTGCATTATCAGTCTGTTTACATTCTAATGTTTCATTTATGTCACCAAATTGCAACAGTTCATATTCACTCTCAATTTCCTGTTCAAGCAGTTCTGCAATGTGCCTTTGTGACTGACTTGAAGATTCAATTAATGTATTATAGCAATCTTTCAAGAGTTTCTGTCTCCTAGCCTGCACAGCTTCATGCAAAAATTTCTTGTTTACTGATCTTTCCTTGCCCTCTGGAATTCCTATTATGTGCTTCAATGAGGTTCCAGTCTTTCCACTGTATACAACCTCATTTCCAAATCTTGCATGTTTATTCTGAAACTTGCACTGTAAATTCCCTCCATTAACTGTTCTTTTTCTGGTAATCACATTACTTGTTCTTTTCCTTGCTGATACAGACATTTCTTTGACTGTATTTCTTTTAACTGTTTCAATTTGTTTATGCTTTTCTTTTCTAATATTCCTTGACCACTTTGCTGTTCTACAGTCAATAGGTTTTCTTGAACTTCTACCTATTAACTGCCTCTCCAGATGATATTTATTTTTATTTGTACTTGATGCACTCCTGGTATAGTGGTTAATATGGTTAACTTTCCCTATCTTATCATTATCCACTATTATTTCCTTGTTACTAACACACATCTTTCCATTTTCATTTGGTAATCTAAAATCATATATTTTTCTTTTACTAATGGCAGGGTTTCTATCAAACTGGATATCTTGATCACTCTTTTTACATTGAACCATCTTTGTTGACAAAATACCTTTTATTATTGGTAGCATCTCTCTCAAATTGGTTTTCCACTGTTTTGTTTTGTCAAGCTTTCGCTTTAAAACATTTCGTTTGAATACACATCCTCCAAGCTGAGGCCAGATTACACACTGCTTCATCCCCAAATTCCATTTCCAATAAAAACTAGTTTTATCTCCATGTAAACTGCACGGAGAGTTATGCAGTTTGTGTGTCGGTGGCATGAAAATGTGTTTGGAAGTGAAACCACTCTGCAAATACATAATTCTCTTTAGTTTGACACACTTGGGAGCTGGTCCAGCCTTTACTCCAGGAAACTTGATACGTGACCCCTTGTATCGAGCCATACACGACTCTGCTACTTGAATGGGCGAAGCTGCTGATGTAACACCATTTACCCCTGAAGAACTAGAGAATGTTTGATTCCTTTCAATATTTTTATTTGTATCCTCTGGCTGATTTTTGTTTTTATTTGGTGGAATTTTAAAATCAGATAACCTTGCATCTTCAATATCATCTAAACCCACAAAGAAATGTGAAAATTGATCTTCACTATTGAAATCAGAGGGTAATTTTGACATTTTTTGTGAATAGAGCACCTTTGGTTTGCTGCTACTCTTCTTAGGTGACAATATCTCACATTTCTTATTACACTTGGCAACTTTTTGTGAAAAATTTTGCTCTGATTCAACAGCTGTTGTCTGCATTTTACATTCTTCAAAATACGATATACAGCTTTCATGTTTGGTACTTGCTTCTTTGTCCATTTCTAAAAAAAATTCTTTCATATCTGCAGTGCCACCTTTTTCAGACTTTGATCCAACTACAGCACATTTGAAAGATTTAAGTGACTGAGTCAGATCTGCAGATGTGCTGCAAACAATGGTGTTAGATTTACCAAACATTACTTTATTGAAACATTTTCTTTGATACCTCAATGTTAAATTGCCATTTAGGTGGTCTGTGATGGTTCTGAATGTATAATTGTTGGCCCTCCTGGAAATAATCGTGTTATGTGAAATTCCTGGAGCCGAAACACGAGAGTCATCACTCTCAGTTTTTGCATCTAGCTCATATTCCATCCTTCCTGAAAATGGCAATTCCCGCTCTGTATCATATCAGGCCCTAAAAGAGAAGAATATTTGTAATAAGATACTGAACAAGATAAAAAGAATTATAAGATAATCATTATTATATTCAAATGAAAGCTCCAAAACCGTAAGGACCATAGAACACCTAGGGAATGGGCAGTAGTAATTAGGTATGATCCATGGAAGGAAAAACAACTTCAATTTCTTGGACCAAGAGCTTTTTGCCAGCATCCTTGAACAGGATGTCTTCAGATAATCTAAGAAAAACACACAATCCTAATTCTTTAACTGCTATAAACTATAAAAACCATGTGAACTTATTATTTTTAATAAAAAACAAAACAAAAAATAATTATGCAGCATTAGTTATGGGTATTTAAGTCCCATCTTCCTAGAGTAAGAGGATATCCAACATGTCAAGTACCAGAGAACTTATTTGGAGACTTGATTTGGAGCAGCAGCATTATTATTACCATTTTACTTGGGGGCTTTGGGGGGGGGGTTGAGAAAATTTGAGGGGAGCATTAGCCCCCCCTCCAAGCCTTCCCCTTAGCACCACCCTTGGGAAACACTTAACTCATATGGGCCATACAGTGCCTGGAGAATTAAAATTATAATTATTTATTTGAAATGAATACATTTTGAGTTTCATCTTATAATAACGATATGATCTGATAAAATCTAAGGCTCCAAAGAAAGCTTCTGATCAAGTAAATGCATTTCAGGCAAAGTAATCATAAGGCCTGCTTCCTACATATATCCAGAACTAGAATAATTTTTAAGTCAGTATAGGTTGGGGAATTCATTACAATCATAGGCGCATTAAGACAGGATGCAAATGAAGACCTAGTCAATTATAAATTACACTGAAAGTTCATCAATTCAATGGCCTGCATATTATGAAGTGGATGAAATGAGGTGTTGAAAGTAAAGCATGAGAATTTACAGACACTGGATATAACATTTATGCGAGATTTAAGATTTAATAGGAGCTCTTAATCAATATTAGTAAAGATGTTTGTAGATGGGGAACTTTTGTCACTTACAGGCAGCAAGTTCCAAACTTTTGGGTCTTTTATCTGCATAAAGTTTTTGAACAGGTCGAGTCATACGCATGGAATGTCTAATACTTGTTCTTTATAATGTATCCATGTGTTTTGTTGCAGCCTTCCAGATTGGGGTTCTGGTGGCCTGGTGGCTAAAGCTCTCGCTTCACACGGCGAGGGTCTGGGTTCGTGTTTCTTTACACCTGTTGTCTATGTTTACCCATCAGCAAATGGGTACCTGGGTGCCAGTCAACTAGTGGGGGTTGCAGCCTGGAACACTGACCTAATTTGCCCAAAATGCTCAGGATAACAAGGGGCTTTCTATATAGTAGTATGTCACCGATGTCAGCTAGGCCTGTATACCATGTATGTACAAGTACTTGTAGTAAATAAGTAAGTAAGTAAGTAAGTTTATTCAGGTATACACAAATACAGTTACATAGAATTATCATACATAGCAGCATATGTGTAGAGAACCTAGGATAACCCAAAAAAGTCAGAGTGACTTATTTCCATTGGGGTCCTTTACTTATTTCCATTGGGGTCCTTTACTTATTTACTTATATTATGGAATTTAAGCTCTGGGTTAATGTCTGTATTGAGTGTCCTGTAGACATAGTGTGCACATATATAGTGTGAATATTATGCATGTTAAGCAGCTTTAAGCTTCTGAGTAAGAGATGTTTTTTTTTGTCTGGAGCCATGGGAGGTAATCAGGACTGATTCAAGGGATAGTTAAGTCTAATTCTTTGGATCCAGAGGTCACCAGCATTAAAGAACCTCCCTAAGGGGTCAGTTTCATGCACATTTACAGAAGTCACTGTGTATAATACCGGCAGTGATCACCACTTTAATGACCTAGTATATAAGAACATTATTATTATTATAATCAAAAAGAAGCGCTGAACCTACAAGGGTCATACAGCGCAGATATATAAGAACATAAAGAAGCACTACTGCAGGCCTACTAGCCCAGGCTAAGCAAGGTCAAGTCACACCCACTCATGTATTTGTCTAACATATTTTTTAAAGCTACTCAATGACTCGACTCAGGAGCTTGTTCCACTCATTCATAACTCTTCATTACCAATTATTATAATAATCAAAACTAAGCACTAAATCACCAGGGTCATACAGTGCTGCTCTTATTACCAAACCAATGCTTTCCTATATCCTTTCTAAATCAATGTTTATTAGCCTGCAATATATTCATGGAGAAGTACTAAACAAGTAAGGATCATACAGTACCTGGAGAATAAGACGTAATCAGGTTTGATCCGAGTAAGGGGGGGGGTTGATTAACTCCAATCCCTTGGATTAAGAGCGCTTGATTTAAGGCCCCCTCACCCCCCCCCCTTGAAGGAAGATTTCCTAGGCAATGTGACATGCGTCTACGTAGACACCTTCCACAGTGTCTCACCCACACTGACCTGACATGAGGATGGCTGCCAGCGGAAGTTATTACTTCTAATAATGGTTATAATCGTAACTTTTTAAAGGGGTGGACCGGTAAGCCAGTGGAAGGCCTCGGTCACATGACCAAAAAGCTCCAGCTGTGGGTCATCCTATAACTAAGACCCATATCAGAAAATACTTGTCCTGTTTCCTGACAAACATTATACCTACCTACCATTAGGGCTGCATGTGGACACAACACGCTGGCTGCTTAATGGAGTTTCAAGCCTATCGGCTACACTAAGGCCATTAAGGCAACACAATTTCACCGCCAGACAAGAGTAATTTCTAAAACAGGAAGTAAAGTATACTCTTAGAATATATATATACACTGATAGAAACATATATCTCGGTGGTGTGAGAGTACATACCTGGTGTGAGAGTGAGTACAGAAGAGTACTGCACAGTAACCAACCCTCACTACAAATGGCCGCCACCACACATTTCAACCTCATTTAATTATTTCATCATTTACATTAAACAATGTGATGTTAAGTTTATTATCATTTACCTTAACAATCTTCAAGAGAAGTAGTGTCTAAGAAAGACAAGTAGACCTCAGCAGACAAGTCTTGAGTCCCGACTTGTGGGCCATAACCTTCATTACAATGAAATTCTTATTTTCATTGAAACAGCAGTTTAAAGCTTTTTATAATGATAACATTAACAACATCATTATTAAAACACACACTAATGATATAAAACGATTTGACATAGGACAACACAAACAAAAAATAATATGATTAATTTCCATTCGGGATCTTCTTTTTACAATATTTCATGCATGTCTTCATGTTGAACAATTATATATATATATATATATATATATATATATATATATATATATTATATATATATATATATATATATATATATATATATATATATATATATATATATATATGCGTGTGTGCGTGTGTACTCATCTATTTGTACTCAGCTATTTGTGGTTGCAGGGGTCGAGTCACAGCTCCTGGCCCCGCCTCTTCACCGGTTGCTACTGGGCCCTCTCTCTCCCTGCCCCATGAGCTCTATCATACCTCGCCTTAAAACTATGTATGGTTCCTGCCTCCACTACATCCCTTTCTAGGCTATTCCATGGCCTGACTACTCTATGACTGAAGAAATACTTCCTAACATCCCTTTGATTCATCTGAGTCTTCAACTTCCAATTGTGACCTCTTGTGTCTGTGTCCCATCTCTGGAACATCCCGTCTTTGTCCACCTTGCCTATTCTGCGCAGTATTTTATATGTCGTTATCATGTCTCCCCTGACCCTCCTGTCCTCCAGTGTCGTCAGGCCGATTTCCCTCAACCTTTCTTCGTAGGACAATCCCCGTAGGTCTGGGACTAGTCTTGTTGCAAACCTTTGCACTTTCTCTAATTTCTTGACGTGCTTGACTAGGTGTGGATTCCAAACTGGTGCTGCATACTCCAGTATGGGCCTGACGTAGATGGTATACAGAGTCTTAAACGAATCCTTACTGAGGTATCGGAACGCTGTCCGTAGGTTTGCCAGGCGCCCGTATGCTGCAGCAGTTATCTGATTGATGTGTGCCTCAGGAGATATGCTCGGTGTTATACTTACCCCCAGATCTTTTTCCTTGAGTGAGGTTTGCAGTCTTTGGCCATCTAAACTATATTGTGTCTGCGGTCTTCTTTGCCCTTCCCCAATCTTCATGACTTTGCATTTGGCAGGGTTAAATTCAAGGAGCCAGTTGCTGGACCAGGCTTGTAGCCTGTCCAGGTCTCTTTGTAGTCCTGCCTGATCCTCATCCGATTTGATTCTTCTCATTAACTTCACATCATCTGCAAACAAGGACACTTCTGAGTCTATCCCTTCCGTTATGTGGTTCACATATACCAAGAACAGAACAGGTCCTAGGACTGACCCCTGTGGAACCCCGCTTGTCACAGGCGCCCACTCTGACACCTCGTCGCGTACCATGACTCGTTGTTGCCTCCCTGTCAGATATTCTCTGATCCATTGCAGTGCCTTTCCTGTTATGTGTACCTGATCCTCTAGCTTTTGCAGTAACCTCTTGTGAGGAACTGTGTCGAAGGCCTTCTTGCAGTCCAAAAATATGCAGTCGATCCACCCCTCTCTCTCTTGTCTTACTTCTGTCACCTTGTCATAAAACTCTAGTAGGTTTGTGACACAGGATTTTACTTCCCTGAAACCGTGCTGGTTGTCAATTATGCACTTGTTTCTTTCCAGGTGCCCCACCACTCTTCTCCTGATGATCTCTATGACCTTGCATACTATACACGTTAGTGATACAGGTCTGTCGTTTAGTGCCTCATGTCTGTCTCCCTTTTTAAAAATTGGGACTACATTTGCCATTTTCCATACCTCAGGGAGTTGCTCAGTTTCAAATGATGTGTTGAAGATCTTTGTTAATGGCTCACACAATATCTCTGCTCCCTCTTTAAGGACCCATGGAGAGATGTTGTCTGGTCCCACCGCCTTTGACGTGTCAAGTTCGCATAGCAGCTTCTTCACCTCCTCCTTGGTTATACGTACCTCATCCAGCACTTGCTGGTGCGCCCCCCAGTTCTGATTTCTTGGAGTCCTATTGGTTTCCACTGTAAATACCTCTTTAAATCTTGTGTTGAGCTCCTGACAAACCTCTCGGTCGTTTCTTGTGAATTCCCCATCACCCTTCCTCAGTCTGATTACCTGGTCCTTGACTGTTGTTTTCCTCCTGATGTGGCTGTACAACAGCTTCGGGTCAGTCTTTACTTTTGATGCTATGTCATTTTCATATTGTCTCTGAGCCTCCCTTCTTATCTGTGCATATTCGTTTCTGACTCTTCAGCTGATTTCTTTATTTTCCTGAGTTCTCTGTCTTCTGTACCTTTTTCATTCTCTAGTACACCTAGTTTTTGCCTCCCATTTGCCTTCCCATTATTTCTGTTTCCCTTGGGAAACAAACCTCTCCTCTGCCTCCTTGCATTTTGTTGCTACATAGTCCATCATTTCTTGTACTGGTTTTCCTGTCAGTTCCCTCTCCCACTGAATGTCTTGAAGGAAGTTCCTCATGCCTGAGTAGTTCCCCCTTTTGTAGTTTGGTTTTTCCCAGCCTATTCCTGCTACTCTCTCCACTTGGAGCTCAACTATGTAGTCGAAGCACAGAACCACATGATCACTAGCTCCCAGGGGCCTTTCATACATGATACCCTCGATGTCCGAACTACTCATGGTGAATACAAGGTCCATCCTTGCTGGTTCATCCTCTCCTCTCTCTCTGGTAGTGTCTCTAACATGTTGATGCATGAGGTTTTCCAGTACCACATCCATCATCTTGGCTCTCCATGTTTCGGGACCCCCATGGGGCTCCAGGTTTTCCCAGTCAATCACCTTGTGATTGAAATCACCCATAACTAGTAACTTTGCTCCCCCCATGTGTGCTCTCCTGGCCACCTCGGCTAGTGTGTCGATCATTGCTCTGTTGCTCTCATCGTATTCTTCTCTTGGCCTCCTGCAGTTCTGTGGTGGGTTGTACATTACTGCAATTATCACCTTATGTCCCTCAGACTGGATTGTTCCTACTAAGTAGTCCCTTTTGCCCATGCCATCCATTCCTTCCATTTTCTCAAAACCCCACTGGTTTTTAATGAGCCGTGCAACTCCTCCTCCCCCTCTCCTCCCTCTGTCTTTCCTGAGGATTTGATATCCGGATGGAAAGATTGAATCTGTTATTATTCTGGTGAGTTTTGTTTCTGTGAGTGCTATTATGTCTGGGGATGTCTCTTTGATTCTTTCGTGCCACTCCTCATACTTGTTTGTTATTCCATCTGCATTTGTATACCACACCTTCAACTTCTTTTATAAGACTGTGGTCTGGGAGGTATATTGGGGTTGGGGAAGTGGGAGACCTGGTAAGGAACTATGGGTTGTTGCTGTGGGGGTGGAGTTTGTAATGTAGTGGGTGGGGGCATTGGATGTGGCATGGGTGTTTTGATTTAGAGTGTTTGGTTGCACTGGGGTTGACCTGGTTGGGAGGCTTCTATAGGAAGTTGTGAGGGAGGCTGTATTTGATCTTCTTCCTGGGTCTGGGATCTCCTGTCTGTCTTCTCCATCCCCTCTCTTTCCTCCTTTCGCCTTTGTACCATCTCTCTCAGTTTCTGCCTTTCTTCTTGTGTTCTGTCGCGGTCGAGATACACCTTCCTGTATGCCGGCATGTCCCTTAATCGTGCTTTCTCCTGCAGGATCCTGGTCCGAGTCGCTTCTGCCTTGAAGGTCACTCTCACTGGCCGGGTTCTTTTTTTTACAAACCCCCCTATTCTCCGAAAATTTTCCAGCTGGGTCATGTCGTCTTCTCCTATTGCTTTCATGATGCTTTCAATTGCTTTTTTTCCCCTTGTTTTCTTGCTTCATATGTTTCTCCTTCAACTTCCTGTAGCCCATACACAAAGACTGACCTCACCCTTTCATTCTCCCACTGCATATACCTGTGTATCCCCTCATTTAATTTGGTTTCCTCCAATGCAGCTTTCCTTTCATCAGTTTCACTGGCTAATGTACTTGGGCTCAGTGGCCTGTCATTTTCCCTTCTCGGCTTTCCTTGGGCTCTGTTGTTGTCTGTTAGGGCCTCCACATAAAGCTTAGCTCTTTCATTTGCTACAGTCTCCTCTGATAGAGCTTCTCCATACAGTTGTGCCCCTTCTTTCCCTACAGTCCCCTTATTTGTGGCTGAGGTAGCAGTCTCTGTTGTCAATCCCAAAATGTTCTTTAGTTCTTTAGGCTGTTTCAGATTTTTCAATTCCTCTTCTAAACTCTGTATCCTAGCTTCTGCTGCATTGACATGCACCTCCCACTTCCTGCTTTCCATATCTATCCTCTCTTCCATTCTCATGCTAAGTTCTTCTAGTTTCTTTTCCCATTCATGATCCCTTTTTATGAGCACTGCTGCCCAATCTTCCTTTGCAGTTTCCTCCTCCTGTCCCTTGGTTTTTCTTGTTGCTCTCTGGCAACCCATTTTCGTTTTATCCTGATTGCCTCAGAGTGGGAAACCTATGTAGTTCTGCATGTTAGGTTAGTAGTGTGTATGTCAGAGTGTGGAGGGGGAAGTAGTGGAGGAACTGTGGCTATGTAGGAGAGGAGTGGGGAGGGTTTAGGGTGAACGGGGGAGGGGAGTGTGATCGAGGGAGGGGAGGGATCAGGGGAAGTAGTGAGATGTCGGTGGGGGAGGGGGGGAGTGTATGTGTGTGTGTGTGTGTGTGTGTGTGTGTGTACTCACCTATTTGTACTCACCTATTTGTGGTTGCAGGGGTCGAGTCCTAGCTCCTGGCCCCGCCTCTTCACCGGTTGCTACTAGGCCCTCTCTCTCCCCGCTCCATGAGCTTTATCAAACCTCGTCTTAAAACTGTGTATGGTTCCTGCCTCCACTATGTCATTTTCTAGGCTATTCCACTGCCTTACAACTCT